GGATTCGATCTTTTTTGGAATGAAAAATTGACGTGGTGGAGTTATTTGAATCATTGCCTCGTGGGCCGACTTGTTCGGTATTGCGAAATTTGACTGAACTTGGCTCTGGGAGAATATTTCACTTCCAGGTTCGTAGAGAGCACCACTAACAGGTGTTCAGTCTTGCCCCCCTTAATGACTAGTCGTGGATCATAGATATGCTTGTATTTATTTTAGCCTTCGATTCGGATGCGATTCTTATTGTTTACCTTAGAATTCAGAGCATAAGGCACGATCACATCTGCACTACTGACAGGCAAAGAAGACTTCTTTTCTGACTGCCACGACCGATGTCAATGATTTTTTGGCTAGATTTTAATCGCAATGGCAGCTATCTGGCCTTGACACAATATCAGAGGTAAAATACAGTATGAATGACTCAATTTAAACATAGAGCACTCATGCCTCGGATTACATTTGCAAGTAACACTGCAAGGTTATGGCGGCTTTTTCTTCAATCCAAGTCAACCCTCATCCGTGAATACCCACCCAGGGAAACGTCTCAAAGAGTTTGAGTTATCCAGACATGTCTTCCTCGTCTATTGAGTAATCTCAACGCGGAACATGATCGAAGGCTTCTCCTCAAATTGAGTAGGTGTCCAAGCTGCTCAGATTATAGCGGATATAACCACTGAAAGGTAGACCAAGGCACCTTTCGTAGTTAGCTCATATTATGGTGTGAACTGCACTATCCGGCTGTGCGAGATCTTTGCGCAAACAACTAGTCGCAGTATCAAAGATATTCCTCAAAGCTCGACTCGTATACCTTTGAGATTTATCCTTCTTGTTCATCTTCTATTGTGCCTTTCCCTCCGTTCTCCCGTAGCTCTTTCGAAATTTATAATCTCCATCATGATTCCGTCAAGACATGGCCTTTTGCCAATATTTTACGACTTAACTGCTCCATCTTGGATCTAACTTTTTTACGAGTTTGTAGCCCGAGAAGTAATAATATTAAAACGGGATATTTTTGAGAAGCTCGGTGTCGGGAAATACTGGCTGGCTACATAGGTAAGGTACACAGAGGCTTGGTAAGATTGGAGTCGGGTCTCATTGATGGTGGACCGAGATGGTGAAAATTTTTTGATTGTGAATCTGCCACGTAGGCTTTGACTTTGACTGTAATCGGGGTGCGATACTTCTTGTCTTCTCAGGTATGTACAATATGCCGAACGTTTACACTGGCACCGCTGGAAATTGAAGAATTCAAATTCCCCGGCTAAGGGGTATTCCCTAATGCTGTACGCGCAAGGACCATTTATTCGGTCTTTTCCGAGCTTGCTGAGCGCCAAAGCACCGCAATCTTTTCCCAGACGACACCTACCTGTGCTCCCATGACCGAAGTTGAAGGAATTCTTTGACTCAGCACGCGAGGACTACACCTACACAATTTAAACCACTGCACAGAGAATTATGTGACGGCGGAGAGAGAGAGGTGTGTCCATAGTACTACTTGAGTCTCAGACTATCTAACACATTAGGCTCCTCTCTGGCCGAGACCACACCTTGTACAGTGCTGCTAGCCTCTCGTGTTCCTTGAAAGATCATTGATATGTTGCCCGTGATGAATATTCATTCAGCTCAGTATTTACCCGTGGATTTTAGCCACCTATTACACTGAAACTTCTACCCAAAAAAATAAAGAAATGGTAGCAATGGAGACTACATGCGCGGGAAAAAGTCTCAAAAAACCTGCGGCCTCAGCTAGGCGAGACCTAGACACCGGGACCACATGGGGTGCGCATATTCATCTATATCTCCCTTCTTTGTAACAGTCGAGGTCGACATGGTCCAATCCACCAATGCCGTATCGGATCGGGTTGTGACGGGCTAGGACTTTCGGCCAATGCACGAAAGTAGTGACACAATTAATTATTTATATTTTCTATGAGGAATTTACGAGCGGGAAGGGGGACTATTCTCAACACCTGTCAGTCGTGTCCCCTACGAACCTCTAGCTCTCACTGTAGGGTCTGCAGAGCCGAGATTGAGTAACAGGGTCCTCACTTCGACGAGGATTCCCAATCGCTTTCGCGGTCTGTGTCCTCTTCATCTCTCGACACATTCCCCTATCACCATTATCATGAAGCTAACCACGATCAGATTAAATAGTAGATTCGAAGCACTTCTTATCACCAATACTTGATCATGGAGGAAAAGCTATCCGATGAGCTTCCGGAGCGTACCCAGCACCCGATACGGCGATGGTTGATTGGATCATATCGCCCCCAAATGTCATAGAAGGGAGATATAGATGGATATACGCACCTCGTGTCATCTCAGTGTCATCTCAGTGCCTAGGCCTCGCCTGGCTGGGGCTGCAGGTTTTTTGAGGCTTTTTCCTTTTTTTTGGGTAGAAGTCTCAGTGTAATAGGTGGCTAAAATCCACAGTTAAACACTGAGCTGAATGAATATCCATCACGGACAACATATCAATGATCTTTCAAGGAACATAAGAGGCTAAGAGCACTGTACAAGGTGTGGTCTCGGCCAGAGAGGAGCCTAATGTGTTAGATAGTCTGAGACTCAAGTAGTACAATGGACACACCTCTCTCTAAAGTCAATTTTTTGCCCGCTTGTACCACGTTCCATAGTGTATTAATTCTACTAACTATTGCCCTGCCTGGAATTCAAACCTTGTTTGCCGCACAAATTTTGAATCAACCTGGAATAGTTCGGGTAGTGCGGTTAGCAACTGCAGATTCCGAAACTTGGAGAGCAGCCACATTTTACCAAAGTAGAGAGTCTGGACGGCAAAAACTGAGTTTTCAAGGCTCACCATTCTTCCTACACCGTAACCTCACAAGGGCCCAAATCAGTTTGGCAATGCAAATACGAAGTGAGCACATGGGGCTTAACTCGTATTTACACAGAAGAAACGTACCCGGAGTATTAAGTCTAGGTTGTCCATGCGGCTACCAATCACAGAACCCAAAGCACATGATTATGTCCTGCCCCCAATGGTCAAATGGTAGAGCTGAGATCTGGAGACAAGCCAAAGATCGATCCTATGAAGCGATGTTAAATAACCCTGGAGATATAAAAAGGATAACACAGTGGATCCTAAACCATGGTTGGATAGAGCAATTCCAGATGACAAAAGCGGTCGAAATACTGCTGAGGGAAAGGAAAAGGTCAAATAATGCTGGGGGAGGATAGAGATGATCTGGTTAGTTTACATGGATGGCACTATAGTGTAACTGCGCTTCCTGAAGAAAATATGTGAGGACTGTAGACAACAAATAGAAAGGTGTGGGAGGTTTTCACCATAAAGGTTTCCTCCCGGGTAAATATTATAGACTGTAGACACCTGCATGGGCCCATAGGGCGCCAAATCAGGATAATGAAATCAAATTTAAATTCAAAACCTGGAATAGTTGGCATTTCTGTACCTTCCAACTTTTGTTCTCAGTGGGGCACCGCGAACTTCGACGGGAAAATTCTGCCTTTAGACTTAGAAAGTATCCAGCCAGACTATTTCGTGAGCCTGGTTTTCATGAAATTTCTACAAGACGAATACATCATTGTAGTTGCTCCTTAGTCTTCGAGCATAGTACGCGCATGAAAAGTGCTTTGGTGCCCTCTTGAACAGATCTATAGTATGGACGTCTTTTGCTCTCATGGCTCGTATTCTGATCGATATTTGCTCAATGGAAATTGCAACCATGCTCGTGCACGTCCACTGGTTTGGCGACCCAAAACCCGCCTGTAGAATAATCCTTCGAATATCAATTGCGACACTCTTGTTGGGAAAGGAAATAAGAGGATTTAGATAAAATATTCTAACTACTCTATTTGAATAGAGACGTTCATCTCATGATATTCTGTAACTTCAGGGTCATTAACATACTCGACATTTGTTAATACTAGAAAGCGGCGCCTGGAATAGAAAAATATCTTTAGCTTCTATATGTGAATTTGAATTTGAAGTATTTAACGTGACAGGACGGACCTAGCATCTATTTAGACGTGACATGGGTAGATGAGCTCTGAGAACTTATTGCTACTTACATGATCGGCATTAAAGCCGGAAGCCATTAAAGAAATTAAGAGGAATAATAAGTGTCTGAGTTACAGTGGCCTGCGCTGCATCCCTATCTTCTAAGCACGTCCCCTCCCGAGTTGAAATCCGTCTTAGCGTGATCATCTTCTACCGTGTTTATTCTTCGGCAGACTGTAACATCTGCCCATGTCACTACTATATGTGAGGTAGATACTACTCCATTTTATTTAGGTTTATTTACTATATTTAATTCAAAAATCAGTGTGCCATATTAATGACCAAAAAGCTGCTAATAGCTTAGTGCAGCTATTATTAAAGACCAACTCAATACCTCCGGATATTGGGGTTTAAATTGAGCCATGTGCTTACGTAGTGAATTTTTGAGACGAATGAGCCTATCGATGCATTTGATTGTGTTCAAGAAACAGACAATGTTGTAGAAAACGACTGTACGCTAAACTCAGACGACACAGCAATTTTTGAAAGAATAGATATGTATGAGCTATGTAAAGGCCTCGAGATTGAGCTGGGTTAGACATCCGATGTCAACGTAACACAATTTCTTTTGGGAATGGATTAAACATAAGTTATAGTGTAAATCAAATGAGTGGATATAATCTTAAATCGTTCTTCATAAAATAAAACTACCTCTACAATTATTTCTCTTTCTTCTTGGATTAATGAGGATAGGGCTTGGAGTGATTATAAAATGGATACTGATAATGCTTGAGAGGATTGCATAATTATCCATGAATTTCCGATATTCTACAGATAATAAATCACACATTCCAAATTCAGTCCGCGGGAAAGTGAAATCCAATATCTCCAAGTCCCCATCGTATTTACCGATCACTACTTCGCAGGCGAAATAAATCAGGTTGGATTCCCAAAGACAGGCTTCCAGATCAAAACTTTACCCCGCATCGATCTAAGCGTCATAACTAAACAGATTTCCACAATGAATGTGATAAAGTTGCAAAGGTAATCATTCTTAAAATATACAGTCTTACTTCTAACGGACATAGAAAATATCCCCAATTTCAGCAAGAACAGATATTTGGACTCCAAGATGCCTTTCGGAAGTTGGATGTAGACGATAAAGGCTATATAGACGAAGCAACAGCGATCAAAGCAACTCAAACAAGTGAAAGGCAACCATATGATATTGTTCGTCAAGCTCTAAAAGAAGTAGAGCTAGATTCCTCCAGACGAGTAGAGCTGGATGATTATATAGGGGTAAGCTAAATTAAAATCCGTACATCCACATTTAAAGCAATATTTTGCTCAACAGCATAAGATGATAGGAACCTGCTAACAGACATTCAAAGCTTGTCTCAAGAGTGAGGTTCTCGACCAATCAGGAGACGGTGCCTATTGGGACTCACTCATTAGGCATTACAGAAAAGATACTACCATCTAGCGGACATGTTCCTAGGGTGAGTACAAGTGGTCGGATCCAAGTTCAAGGATCTTCAGCAAACGTCAAGCATACTATAAATGAAGATGAGAGAACTGAATTTACACGACATATAAATGCAGTTTTAGCAGGAGATCCAGATGTTGGGGCCCGATTACCATTTCCTACCGACACCTTTGAGATGTTCGACGAATGTAAGGATGGTCTTGTCTTGGCGAAGCTGATAAACGACAGTGTCCCTGACACTATCGATGAACGAGTTCTTAATCGTGCTGGAATAAGACTAAAGTCTCTAAATGCTTTTCACATGACTGAAAATAATAACATAGTAATAGAGTCTGCTAAAGGAATTGGGTGCTCAGTTGTCAACATCGGAAGTGGGGATATCATCGAAGTTCGAGAGCACTTAATACTAGGATTGATTTGGCAAGTCATTCGTAGGGGGCTACTCAGCAAAATCGACATTAAACTACATCCTGAGCTTTATAGATTACTTGAAGAAAATGAAACTTTGGAACAATTCTTGAGGTTGCCCCCCGAACAAATACTTTTGAGGTGGTTTAATTATCATCTGAAAGCAGCAGGCTGGCCGAGAAAGTGAGTGTGTACCTAGCTTCTATGATTATAGATATTCTAGCTAATTTATGAAGGGTATCAAACTTTTCAACCGATGTCAAAGACGCCGAGAACTACACTGTACTTCTTGCACAAATTGCTCCTGACACCTGCACCCGGGAGCCTTTACAGATAAATGATTTACTGCAACGGGCAGAAAAAGTACTTCAGAATGCTGACTCTCTCGGCTGCCGAAAGTTTTTAACAACAAAGTCTCTTATAGCCGGTAATCCAAGACTTAACTTGGCATTCGTAGCAAACTTATTTAACAATCATCCCGCTCTGGATCCTATTACTGAAGAAGAGAAATTACAAGTCGAAGATTTTGATGCCGAAGGCGAACGTGAAGCAAGAGTATTCACACTCTGGCTTAATAGCCTTGATGTACAACCAGCAGTGTATTCTTTATTTGATGATCTACGCGATGGTACTATTCTTCTCCAAGCTTACGATAAGATTGTCAAGGGTTCTGTAAACTGGAGATTAGTAAATAAAGTACCATCTAACGGATCAGAAATCTCGAGATTCAAGTCAGTTGAAAACACAAACTACGCTATTGAGTTGGGTAAGCAGAATCGGTTTTCGCTTGTTGGGGTTCAAGGAGCGGACATAACTGATGGACAACGTACTCTTACACTAGGCCTAGTTTGGCAACTAATGCGGAAGGATATTTCTGAAACTTTATCCGGTTTGGCCCAACAGCTTGGAAAAACCGAGATTACTGATGCTGAGATGGTAAGATGGGCTAATGAGAAGAGTCGGAGGGGTGGCAGGAATTCGGCTATTCGTTCATTTAAGGATTCAACGATTGGAACTGGAATCTTTCTCCTAGACGTCTTGAATGGAATGAAGAGTAGTTACGTTGATTATGATTTGGTCACTCCCGGTAGGACTAGTGATGACGCATATTTAAATGCTAAACTTAGCATCAGCATTGCAAGAAAGATGGGTGCTACAATTTGGCTAGTTCCTGAAGATATTTGTCAAGTTCGAAGCCGCTTAGTGACTACCTTCATTGGTCAGCTAACCCGTCAAATTCTTGCCTAATAGTTACTGACAAAGTATAGGATCTTTGATGGCGACAGATGAAAGAAAAAACTAGAACATCACAAGCCAGAAATATATATTTATATATATATATAAAGGTCTTGCAGCTGACCCTTTATAAAAGGTTTAATTGATGCTCCAAATAGAAAGTTTTCAAAGGCTCTTTGTTTACTTGTATATTGTGATGATATATCAGTTTAAAAGGTATGAGAGCAGTTGATGTCTAGTACGGGAGTCTCTTTCAAATGCTTAGAATTAACATTGTCAGATTGATATTAATCTGTAATGTACAGCTGCGTCCGAAGTTATACCTAAAAGTAGTAATATCATCATATATAACGTACAGCCTACGTGAGGTTAGAGTACGGCTAAGCGTATCGCTTGTGATAAATGTAAGTCTGCCGTAGTTTTTGATTCTAAGAATGAAATGTGATATGATAATTCAAATACGAAGTTCTCTCAACATTAAATCGATTGATTAAATTAGTATCCATCCACTTTCCTTCTTAATAAATTTATCCATGAGAATCGAGATATCTGCTAGAACGAACCGACATATGTAGAATCCAAAGAATTCAGCCGCATGTCGGGTACAAAGCTCCAGGCCAACCTGAGTCTTATCTGCATGTCTAAGTCCGGGATCCTCAACCTGTCGTGCAATTTGATCTCCAAAAATTTAGTAAAATTTCCTTTAGAGTTAGCTCTCATGACTTACCAACAGTCTGTGCTGCATCAAATAATCTCGCTAACGCACTCATATAATTGGCGTTTGGACCAGAAAATTGAACTTTATCAACGTCACTCCTCAGATGGCGTTTCTTGGTGATACTTGAGGCCATTGGCAGTGTCGGGATCGTAGGACACTCTTTAAGCGGGTCCACATGTGTTTTGTTGGAATAGTTGCTTGACAAACTTACGCCAGAATTTTTCGATCTCAGTCTTCGCCATGAAAAAGATGATTTACTTGATATAGTACCTGTCTTGGATAAAGTATTGTTGTTTTCATTATCAGCTTCCACAAATGTGTCTTTGAATACGGGAAAATTTCCTGAATTTTGAACACCAACTTCACTCCCTAGTTTCTTTGATAACACCGTTTGAACTTGTTCAAGGACGCTTTCAAAAGTCTGCATCTCATCCAAGACTGCATCGGCGTCAAATGAGTCAACACGAGCAAGTTTCGTTAAAGCTAACGTTAAAACTTCACAATTAGCTATTTTATCTTCCATATTCTTGATTTTGACACCTTTGACTCTCCAAACGTCACAAGGAACAAACAACTTATTTGTGATAAAACCTCCCTTTGGGTGTACAATCGTCTGATAAAGAGCACGCATTAGCCAAAACGGACGAAGAAGATATTCTGTCGGGCATGATTCAAGAGGTGTAGGTGTCGTTTTATCCGTGTAAGAGGGCATCCCAAAGTTATCTTGAGAGTGAAAGCTGTTGTTAAATAAGTCCATATTTTCATTCTGACTTTGACTTTGCCTTTCTGTTAACGACATGACGAGAGGTGTGAGCAAATTCGGCCTTAACTGATGGGTTGAGTTAACCTCGCGCTCGTTAAATTGTATACTGACGGGGGTGTTTAGCGAAGTGTCTGAGCCGTCTTCAAGATTTGACGTCGAGACATTGCGGCTCTTTATGTTCTTCAAACTTGTAGAGGACATATTTTTCCGCAAACTCATTCTAGATTTAGTTCGAGTAGGGGATTCAGCTTCGCATGATTGGGAATCTACATCATTACCAAGATGTTGAGGTGAATTTGTGAAGGAAGATATTGTATCTGATGAGTTCATGAGAGGCTGAGAGGTCTGTCTAGATATTTGAAGTGTAGGAGGCCGATCTGCAGAATTGGGTGTTGATTCGTGTAATTTATTTGTTTCTAGGGATTTTAATGGAGCTAGAATAACTGTGTTCGATGCCTTCGCCTGAGACAAATCTTGTCGATGGTCCATGGGCAATTGGGGATTAGTTTCAATTTTAAGGGGCTTTGCTCTTTGTCCCGAAAGTCTTCGAGTTCTTACACCTGAAGTCGAGAAGTCACATGAAGAACCTCTCTCACTAGGTTCCGGTAAAGAAACTTCAGATAAATGAGGCAACAAAGGTGTAGCAGGTGTTGGGTTCTTCGAGGTAGAGGAATTCTGAAGTATTGGAGATCCTTCTAAAACATTCGACGATCTGGAGGTTAATGATGACGAGTTGGGCCGTCTAGCACGTTTTTCTGATTCAGTTTCTTGGAGCAAAGCCGCTCCGCCGTACAAGTCGATGTCAAAATTTTCCATAGCGTAATCTCTTGTCATCTCTTCCAGGATTCGTTCTTCCTCTTCTGATTCATTAGAGTCATATCCGTCTTCAATAACGTCCTGCAAATGCTGCTGTTGGATTCTTATTCGCTCACGCTCATGAGCTATCTGAACTGCAGCTTCGCGCTCTGATTGTCTCACCCTTTCCTTAGCCAACTCAACTTTTCGTCTCACATTGGCAACAATTTCATCATCAAGATGACCAGAAGTAGAAAAATCCTTAGAATATATCGGCATGAGACCGTCATCATAAGCAGCCTCAATAGCAGCATCTAGTGCCGCATCAAATTCGACTTCTGTCTCAAACCTCAGAGCTTGGAGAGGCTTCCTATAAACTTTTAAGGAAGATGACCTTGAGTGGATAGATGGTGTAGCTGAGCTCCCTGCTTCATCTATAGTGTCAAGCCAATGGCTGGAATCCTTACTTGCCATTCGAGAATGACCGCTAGTATCTAAGAGGTTATTTGTATTAGAAACTTTCGTCTCTAACTGTCTCGGCTCTAGTTGTGTTGTACCTAAATTCTCTTGATATTTAGGTGATGTAGGACGTCGTGGCGAAAGAGGACGGGGCATGTATGAGCTCTTCATAGAATCTTCATGACTATCATTTGTCATCTCAATTGGCAACCTTAAACATGATCGACCTTTAAATGAATCTTGTTTATGTGTTGATGCCTCTGATCCAACCTGAAGTGATTCTCTTCGTGGTGGAAGCTGTGATAAAGACATCGAACGGTTTTGCTTTATCTGTTCCAAACATGACTGTTCGTTAACCATTTCCTCGTGGGCCATTCTCTCTTCGTCATCTGTTAAGGGCATAGAGCTTTCAGACTGGGCAGGAAGTTCTTTGGTAAATTCATCTAGCTGGAGGGAAATCTTCTCAAGTTCGCTAATCCTGATAGTATAAGTAATGTGCTAGATTGTCAGCCAGGTCATTTGGGAGGAAAATTCGTAACGCACAATGGCTTCCAACTTGCGACGGTCTTCATTCCCGGAACTCCGCGACATGACATGGTTCAAAAGACCACAGGCTTCAGAGTATGCCTGCATAGCGCCCTCGAAATTTTGAGCATTATCAAGAAGTACTGCACTATTTGCCTTTTGTAAGGCTTTAGATAGCATCAGTTTTTGAGAGGAGTGCTTCGAGGTTCTAGCGGCATACTGGTTGCTTGAGCTACTACTTCTGGAAGAGCGATTTCGTGAGGCTTTTGATCTAGATCTACTCTCTTGATAACTTTCGACTCCTTTCTGGCTAGACTCGAGAGGGGAACGAGAATCAACTCCTGAAGACTTCGATATTATGGGAGAAATTTTCTGATATACATCTTTTGTTCCAGGCTGAGAATCCCTCTTAGCTTGTCTAAAGCAGTCCTCTTGTTGGATCGCTGTTGAGATTATTTGAGCTGTTGGAGATGGCGTTGCAGGCCTCATGAGAGAGGAGGCACCGTTCATGGCAAGATGTGGGTCTGAGAGTAAATGTAACAGCAGCAGTATGATTTAATATTTAAGCTTCCCTAGCGACTTATGTACTCTAGAAGTAAATTGAAGCTCCACGGGTAACATTGGCTGGCAAAGTAAATTGCATCTATAAAGTTCGTAGAAGCTGATCTGGACCATCGATTCAAGATGTTCCGACACAACAGTGGCAACAAAATACCGGCATTCTGGCCGAAAAGTATGGAGAATTCCTGCCTTTAACTTGTAATCTGCTATGGTGATTGGATACAAATGACTGGTCGATTAGCAGCAATTGGAGTTACTGAGGTAAATACATCGATCATGGGGACCGGGTGTGATGTTCCGCATCTGATATCCCTATCTGGGGTGCTAGCAGTTTCAGGCTAGCCTAAATAAGCGTCAACTCCGCCCCTGCATGTTACTATCCAATGGCATAGTTAGTCGTATCTTCACGTACTCCACAAATTTTAACCCTTGTGCGACAATCAGGAACGCTAGTTAGGCTGCATGGTGTAGTGGTACATATTCCGGATCGTTAATATCAATGATTTGGGCTGATATAATTTAGCCCGTGCAATTATATTTAGGTATAATATTCACAAAGTAGGAAACAGGAGGACGAAGGCTGAACACCTGTCAGTGGCGTCCTCTACGAACCTGGGAGTGAAATATTCTCCCAGAGCCGAGATTCAGTCACGACAAAGGGTGGATTTGAGAGTTTTCGTCGAGTTGGCGATCGGGAGGAGTGGTGTTGGCTCATTTTTGGTCGAAAATCTGACTTGCAAAGATTTCACGACTGCACAACTCAACGAAATCAACCATCTACACCCCAGATACGAACCGCATACGGGCAATAACCTATCTAATGTTCGTATCACAACAACTGACACTTTCAAGATCTTATTTTCTTTTTCTCTGGAAGATCATTCTCAGCCAAACTCCTCTCGCGGCCCTCTCCTCAATCATCTCATCACCTACCGAAGCAATCCCATACCTCTAAAAGCCAAATCGCCAACCAAGAAGCAAGAGAATGTCCGGACCTACGCAACTGCCAGTCGCTGTGAAGGTACGGTCGAAATACCGGCCCTAAATTCGTCCGCACCTCAGCCAAGGGCACCAACAACTCGACCTGCGACGAATTGCCACCGACGAAATACGTACGACATTTCGCCGGCACCCTAAATAGAGCATTCGACAAAGGCTGGGGCACCGGTGCCTCGGTCTTGAGCTCTCAGTCGCGTTTTCGACCTCCACTGCTAGGGGTACGGCAGCGACGGGGCAAGGCCGGAGGAGTGGACATTCTACAAAGTTTCTTGGATGACGATATCGGCTGAAGGATAGAGGGATGCTACATGAAGGAACCAAAAGGGAACACAAACTGAGGAGGCCTTAGTAGCCGACTAGATGAGGCCTCCAGTGAAGAAAAGGTCCCCTGGATGAGATGCTGAGATGAGCTAAAGCTGGGAATGATTCGAAGGGAAAAGTTACAGATGGCGAAGGTTTCAAGGGCTCGAGCGCGTGGTGGCCGAGGCTGAGGAGGAATTTGCGCTTCGGCGCGCCAAAAGGGGGTTCTCTGGACGGTTGGGCTTGACATGATTCAACACATGGGTGAAGTCTTAGGTGGTCCGGCCATTCAGGTGGGACGAGGTAAATGTACTTAATGGTAGTTAACCTGATCCGGCTCGGTCCCACTCCTGCATAAGCCCCAATAGGAGTGCAACGGGAATCACTATACCTAGCACGTAAATGAACAAAACAAAAACATAGTAGGAAACTAATTCGGTAAAACCACCATAAAGTATTTGTCTCAAGGCTTTACTGGGGAATCCCGTGAGAATATCGTTTACGCTGTTCATCCATGTATTTATTGTTTCATCTTATCTTCCCTTTCTATCTCTACGTCTCCTGCAAGCCGGAACTACTCAAACCAGCTTTCAGCCAGGATCCACTCTGTGGAACTCTCTATATCATCTGGACTGTTTATGACTGCTGCAAAGGATCTATCTTTTGCCTTTGGAATCATCTTTCCTCTCCCCTTTACCCACTAAGGATACGCCAAGACTATACGTTTGTTATTCTGTGATGGATATCCATATTGTTATTTTGGATTAACCACTACGGGGACTTTCCTTTCGTAAAGATAAGAATTGTGACCGTTGTGCTCACTTCTTATAAGAACTGCAAGACTACGGGGGACTGTTCTCAATACCTGTCGGTGGTGTCCCCTACGGACCTCCAGCTCTCACTGTAGAGTCTGCAGAGCCGAGATTGAGTAACAAAGTCCTCACTTCGACGAGGATTCCCAATCGCTTTCGCGGTCTGTGTCCTCTTCATCTCTCGACACATTCCCCTATCACCATTATCATGAAGCTAACCACGATCAGATTAAATAGTAGATTCGAAGCCCTACTCATCACCAATACTTGATCATGGAGGAAAAGCTATCCGATGAGCTTCCGGAGCGTACCCAGCACCCGTTACGGAGATGGTTTATTGGATCATGTCGACCTCGACTGTTACAAAGAAGGGAGATATAGATGAATATGCGCACCCCATGTGGTCCCGGTGTCTAGGTCTCGCCTAGCTGAGGCCGCAGGTTTTTTGAGACTTTTTCCCGCGCATGTAGTCTCCATTGCTACCATTTCTTTATTTTTTTGGGTAGAAGTTTCAGTGTAATAGGTGGCTAAAATCCACAGTTAAACACTGAGCTGAATGAATATCCATCACGGGCAACATATCAATGATCTTTCAAGGAACACGAGAGGCTAGCAGCACTGTACAAGGTGTGGTCTCGGCCAGAGAGGAGCCTAATGTGTTAGATAGTCTGAGACTCAAGTAGGACAATAAACACAAACACACCATTTCTTGTCCTATATAGAGATAGAAGCATTACTAGCCAGGATTAATTATGATTTATACTTGTCTATTTCCTAGCATCGATGATGCTGAGCTAGTATTCTCCTAATAATTCTTTTTAGTTGTCCCTGAATGACTCTTTAAATTATTCATTCCCTGAATAAGCCTGGAGGTCTTTATCTCCTATAATCAAACACTTATCTGCTTTATGATATTTTAGCTTTTAGTTTTAGACTTAGTGATCTGTGAAACTCTTGTAGAATTGTGGCCCTAGCATATGTTGAATTCGGCGATCTGCAGCATTTGTGCAAACTCTGCTAGCCGACATCTTTCTTCAAACAAACGATTGCCAAGCCTTGGCGCATCGTTTCCTAAGTGCAATATCTAGTCCATTTCTGATCTTTTTGTTGTCACCGCAAAGACCGAGACAGCTGTTAGTTGGATTGCAGTTTTTGAGGTCGCTTCCTCAATTTTCATGTCTGCAGTGACTATTACTGCATCCTCTGGGATACACAAGAGATTAAGACATTTAGGTCCCGGACTGAAAGCCATTTCGAGGCTGGTTTCAACCTCATGTCAGAAAGATCTCTGCGGTGGGCCTCCTATAGGAAAATATTTTGCGCTGCTCCGGTAGCTGTAGCTATAGCGAAGGCTATCGTTTAATGACAACGATCCAATGATCAATATGTATTTCCTTAGAACTAATGACTAATTGTGTTGATGAGTAATGAGGTACCCGTTTGGGAATGGCGTCAGGAGACAGGGGGTTTTACGGTTTATAGATGTTTCCTTCCAGGAAGACAGGGGGGAGAGAACATCTTATATACGTACAATAATTATTACTGCTACATCAAGCTTGTGATATAAATTACCACCTAAGTATTCCGACAGATAAATTTATCATTTTGACTTGGTTGATAGTTGTATTTGCTATCCGTAGTTTCTTCAATAGGCTTAGAATGAAAAAGTGCGGGGACATTCGTCGCCATTGGTGTGTAGTTCCTATCCTTAGAAAAAGTCTCTCGTCTGGGTGGTCATTAGGGTGTAGGTTAATGCCTCTTGATTAGCCGGACTTGTTCTTGAAGTTATTATTTGTTGTGGCGCCGAAGCTGGCTTGCCTGTTTTTTTTTGATTACCAGCGGAATTCTTAAGCTCTCTGTTTTGGCAGCTGGGCTGACACGGGGACACTTGGTGCTGGCGTTTTCACTACTGTGGGCGCCTCGCTTTAGAACCTTTGAGTTGTTTCAGGCGGGATTGGCGAGGCTTGGATATACCGGGATACTCAGGTGATATTTGTATCACAAGCTGTCTATAACAGTAAAAGTGATTGGTGGTTAACATGTATCTTTTTTATTGTCAACTTCTCACAGAAAGAAACACGTATACACTGTAGTTATTGCTCTCCCCTATCGCCATTCTACAACAGGTAGCTCATTACTCATCAACATAATTTATCATCATCTCTAATACATTACATGAACGATCATTAAGTCAATAGTTCGAAGGACATTATTTTTGCTAAAAAGCTGGGCAGCGTTCCACGCTGCCTTTATCATCAATTTGACATCGTGAATCCAATTTGTATATATGCATTACCCTCCTCTCGTCATTACGCTTTCCGTGCTTCAACATGGCAGGTGTAGATGCTGGTATGGGTAAATCCAGTGGTCTAGACGCGTCGCAAAAAGCGACAATGGCCACCAAAAACAACACCAGCGAGGCGCAGACAGTTTCAAAGGATAAGAATTTATAAATCCTGGGGAAAATACTTCAAAAGATTTTTCTAATCGTGATGAGAGAGATGGATGGGGAGAACATACCAACTATGGAGGATTTAACGAAGCCCAGAAGGCATTCAATGCTCACAAAAAGGCCTAGACTGAAATTTCCCAGAAGACGTTTTCAACCGAGGAAAGGATGATGACGTTAGAGGAAGTTGACAAGAAGAGTCTCGTGGATCCTGCTCGAAATGCTGACCCAGCAGTGACATCGGGAACGCCGACACCAAGGAGCTACGCATCGGTCGTAGTTCCGCAGATGATGAAAGCAGCGATACGAATTAGAATTGACGGATCCGATAATCTGCAGCCAGAAGAGCTGCTATCAAAAGTAAAACAACACATCAATGGCGCAAATGCGATTTGAAAAATATCGAGCAACGACATCGAAGTGCTTGTCCGGTCGGCGTTCCAGAGAGACGCAGCGATAAATATGCGATAACCAACTGAATTTAAAATCCTGAGGCAAGACTTTCCAGTCGAGGTCAACGGTGTCCCATGGCGGACGCGAATTGAAGGGGGAAGAGATGCCAACAATTACGCCATCATCCGGGAGATGGAGACAGCAAAAAGGGCACAAATTTCAGTTCTTTCGATCATTAGACTCTGACGGTTACATGATGGGACGGAATGCCAGCGGTTAAAGAAAAATGACCGCACTCGCGGAACAATAGTGGTTAACCTCCCATCGGAGGCAATGCAAATGGAAGCAGTCTGACAGGGCCTAGTAATGAACCCCATGCTCTTCACCGCGTAGATGTGGTCATCATAGACCCTACCAAAGCTGTACTTCAACTGCAGCTAGTGTGGAAAGACAGACAGCTGCAGTGAGTGCGCTGGTGCTCATCAAACTCGGGACTGTCTGGGGAAATGGATCTCTCGTGCGAACTGCAGCAAGGAAAACCGTTTGTGGCAGAAAGTAGCATGTCGGAACTACCAGTTCTACAAGGGAGGTGTAGAGAAGGCCCGGATGGAGATGCTATCGGGAACGGCGGAAATATTGAATAAAAACCCTGCCATGGCACCAATACGAATGATCGGAACGACTGACGACCAAGGATTTACTTTGGTGGCCATTAAAAAAGACTAAAGGACTAATTGGAGGGTCGGGACAACCCCGAAAGGAAGTCGAACCCACAGCGGCAACAACCATCCCGTCGACAGTCGCACTACCATTTGGGCCGACTCTTCGGACACTTCGAAGACCAACACCAATCGAGGAGTTTCCTTCTCTTTTCAACTTCCCTAGCGATAGTTTGATCGAAGGAGTATTTAACGAAATTTGGGGAAATTTTATAAAGTTGGGAATGAAAGGAACGTTTTTAGCATTAAGCCGGGTCGGATCAGAGTGGTAGGACAGCGGATTTTGTTGCTTAAAAGCCTTTTCCCTTCTTATTATGGCTCACCGTCTTCTTGGTTCTATCTATAGATACCACATAGTACGTTAAACTAAAGAATTGAATGAATGAAGTCAATAGTTCATTCAACAGTTTTAATGTCCATGACCTGTGGGTTGGAGGGCAAGACTGAACACCTGTACGCGGTGTCCTCGACGGACCTGGGAGTGAAATATTCTCCCCGAGCAAAGTTCAGTCAAATTTCGCAATATCGAGCAAGTTGGCCCACGAGGTAATGATTCAAACTACTCCTCCACGTCGTTTTTTCGCTCCCAACGAGTTTGACTTCTACCTAAGTCTCATCAAGTCTACAAGTACGACCTAGTACATCCTCATTTCAATGACCACACCTCTCGTCGACTTTCTCTGGCCTCAGCTGGTCACCAAATACACGCCCACGCCGATATTTACACCCGACGGAGGAAGCAAAGCGTGGAGCACAATTTTGGGAGATAGCTCTTTGGGACGGACGTGAGAGGGATCAGGACAAGTTTATAAGATGATGCAGAAGAGGGATACATTCTCGACGGGCGTGAAATTCCGAACTTTGGCAAGGATTCTTTACAAATTGAGCTTTGCGCGTGCCAAGACTTTGCTTGCGAGAGTGCAGCTGACACTATAAAAACAAGCCGACGATGGAAGGTGTTGTGGTCCGCCTCCTGATGGTGTTCTCCGGTATAGTCTGAGTAGCCTGGGCACCTACTCCACTTGGGAAGGAAACATCTCAGACCATATTTCGCGCGGAGGAAAGATAATGGATGACGGAGGCATGTCTGGATAACTCAGGGTTTTTGAGACGTTCCCCTGGGTGGGTATTCACGGATGAGGGTAGACTAGGGGTGAAGAAAAAGCCACCATAACTTCGCAGTGGTACTTGCAAATGTAGTCCGAGGCATGAGTGCTCTATGTTTAAATTGAGTCATCTATTATACACTCCTCTGATATTCTATCATAGCTAGATAGCTGCATATGCAATTAAAATCTGATGCAAAAAAAAATTATGTAAAGACATGTAGGTCCTTTCTGTCTACAGGCCGGGAGTATCTATGCCTCGGGTAGTGTACTCCCTCCTTTGCCTCCCTCCCGACTTCTTTCCAGTAGTTATACCCCCACAGGCCTTCATTCGAGTACACACTAAGAGGAGCTGTTATCCCGTCATTATCTCCCCTCTCCAGCCAACGAAACGATGGCCATTTGCGGGTGTATCGCTGCAGGGAAAAGTCTGAAAAACCACTGGGTACGGGGCTCTCCTATGACAAAGAGGCCGACCAGCCGAGCGCAGCAGACCTGTGTATACCTAAGAGCGTCTCTTAACCTTCCTAGCCTCCCCCTTACTCTTCATTTGATTCATGCCGCAGGACAAACCGAAGGTCGTGAAAGGATGTCAGAAAAGTCTTGGTCGAGAGTGATTGTCATGAAGGAGCGTAGCCTAGCATCTAAAAGTCGTAACGGACGTGGGTTGTCGAGTAACTCATGTATTTCAGATGCCCTCCTGGCTAGTAGATTCGGAGGTATAAATTAGTAGAGACGATATTTTTGACGAGTCGAAATCTGCTTTTCTTGAGGGCGGAAGGGTCTATTACTTTACTTTCATGGGCTTTTTGTTCGCCCGTCGGTGAGTAGCATATGTTGTGATATAACGAGGGCTTCTCTGACTACCGTTGTAGCGTTTGGTGCCGCATTATCTTTCCCCATTGCCAGCATCATTATTGTCGTCTTGGTCGTATTATGTGTTATCGGAAGCGTATCTTTGACGGAGGGGGAGATAACTCAGGTCAAAGTTGAAAAGGTGGTATTTCTCAATCTCGGCTCTATAGACTCTACAGTGAGAGCTGGAGGTTCGTAGGGGACACCACTGACAGGTGTTGGGAATAGTCCCCATGTTGGATACTGTTATTAGTATCTTTAACAATCTGTAGTCATGTGCCGAAGTTCTACAAAATGAGGCTTCCGCAGGAATGTGTCGTTATCTCACCCACTAGAGTTGGCACTTCCCTAGGAACACAACAGAATATACCATTTCTTCAACCGCCCCCAAGAATTCGGCCTAAATATGAAGCTAGTACTTTGTTCAAATTCACGTGATCTATTATTTCTTGGGGGAATTGGATGGATTTATACAAAAATTGAAACTGTAGTCATAACTTTACAATCTGGGTACGAGAGTGAATCGTATTAGTGTGGCAGGATAACTGGGTTATTGCTCGAAAGCATTTATTTGAAGTCATTTATCCATCCTTGTCCATGACTTGTTGCAGAAGTCGAACAAAATAGTGCACAAAAATATCATCTTTAAGTAATATCTTGAAAGAATATAAATAGACTTTAGATATTACGTGATTTGATATTAATATCGAATAACTAAAACTTCAATGATTCCATGGATTTGAACAATATTTTGCATAGCATTTAAAGTCAATAAGTAGCTCGCTTTGTCTATCAATGGTCCTGATAAGTGGAATATTGATTCTAGCCTTGTATTTGCGGTTTTATTTCGACGTCTGCTCACTAATCTGAGAGAGCTTTAGAATTAGACTGCTGTAACATGTCCAATTGACCTTCTCCCGGGATTGCGGCAGAATCCGGATCCTAATTTTTTAAGTAGAATATATGATTGGAGCATCTCATTCTGATGTAAGTGATCGAAATGAATAATTCAATTTAAACTGAGTACGTAACTATTTTTAGCCCAAGATTCCTAGATGCGCCCGCTCCCGACCCATCTCAAATTTTTATCGCTAGCAATGTAAGACTAAACCATGTACAGCGCATAGAACGGTGCTGTTAACCTTACTATTTGGGCTCTAATTTTACGCCTAAGTACTATTTTCATTAAATTCGTGAATCAGCTGAACTAATGAGGAGATCGCGCGTCACCTCGAAGCTCAGCCAGCTGCTTGCCATGCTAGGAGCAACTTTGAGAAGATTTGGAACTATTCCTTTGTACATGCCTTTAATTCCCTCTTGGGCGACAATTATTTTGACTGCGTCGAGTATTGACTTGTATTGATATCCTAAGCCGGACATGGTGTTTATCTGGAATCTGCGGCGCAAAACATCACTGATGATAGTTAGTATGAATGTGTTGCCATTTATAACATTTGGTAAGGCTCACAAAGGATACGTGCATGTCTGGGCGACTGCACCAGATATGGCACCCGCACCAAGCTTGCGTAATGCGCTAGGGTTCTTGTCACCATCGGGAGTAAAATATGATCGCACTAATTCGTAGGTCATAAAGTTCAGCCCAACCTAAATTTAAGACAAACTTTTTAGTAAGTTGTGGCCCAATCTGATGGAAAACCTACATATGGTGCAACGCCGGCAACTGTCGGAATTATTCCTCGATATAGAGCCAGCATTCCTCCTTCTGTCTTATACATAATAACCATTGTTGCCCACATACCGGGCAAATTTTTTGGAGCTGATCTGTCTATTGCAGTGAAGGATGATGATTGAATGGAGAGGCGCGTTCGAACAATATCTAGTGGATACGTGAAGAAAACAGAAGTTATGCCGGCAGCGCCACCGCAGATTAAACGTTTGAAAGAACTCAATTCTGCCTCTGGAGTTGTTACCAGGAACTATTTGTTAGAAAGCATTAGTCTCCTCGATACCAGGCCTAGAATAGAATATTAGAATGCTAACTTACCTTTTTGTATATACTGTAACTTCCGAATTGAACGGCTGAATATGGTACGATACGAATACAATTCGTTCCGTTTCCTCGCATGAATCCTCTCCATCCCTCCTCCTTCCACATTTTTAGCAGTCCTTTTCCAACCGAGACTTTGTATTCTTCTCTCCCGACGCTTTGGATCTGGTACAGTATCTTAAGACGTTCAAGGGGTGAGACGACTGTCCTGGATACTGCGCCTGCAAAGCCTCCTGCGCAGAACGCTGCAACAACTGGACGTGAAACAAATTCGCGGAATTGAAAAGACGTAAGTCCATTATTAGGCGTAGTTTGCTTGCTTTTGGTTGGTATCTGTCAATAGTTAGCAAGTGTAAATTTTTTGACTTTGGTGCCAAAACATGCAATTGACATTTCCAGATAGTTTTTTGAATGCCAAATTAATGACGCTTATTTGTTGAGTTCTGAGATTACATGTAGACTATAAGAATACCTATGATAGGTTGGCTAGTTAAGCAGTTCAGATAATTGTAATATTGTAGATATATGCAAAATTATAGCAGTCATCGATCTCTTTTCTAGAAACCTTGATGTTGACAAAATTGAGACCTGTTAAAATTTGTGCGTCTTAGAGCAAGTGAATGTTTGGGCCAGTTCTTTACTTAGATAGGCGGAATCTCTTCCATTTATTCGTGGCCTCGCGTAATTGAGGATCAAACGTTACGGCAATTCTAGCCAGAGTGCCGTCAAGGGGCGGGTATAAAATTGGTTAGCAGAAATAGCGGGTATAATGGTGTTGTCATAATTCGCGCTATTCGTTAGACACTGTGCCACATTCACAGAAAGGTTTCTCAGATTATTGATGAAGTGATCGCCATACTGACATGTGGGTGCAGAAGGCTTTCAGCTTTTGCTACATAACAATTACAATCCAAATGATTTCTCTTCTAACCTGGAAATTAAATACTTTAAAGTCATGATCTTTGACAGTTTGTAGGAAGCTAATCATATCTAGAACTTCACTTATGGGACACTTGAAGGGATACAGTCCCAGGAAGTTGAGAGATCAATTTGATTTCCACTTAAGCTTCATTGACTGTAAGCGTGAGTACACTAGTGCATGTTTGAATCTAGGGATGTGTCTGTTAGGTGATAACACGTCTGGGGTTATAGCAGCCCCATCGGCTTTTACTATTTCATCGCCGTTGAACGGTGTTAATAAAACTAAATTTTATTCGTTAGCAAATTCGGAGTAGACATTAGTCCTTTCTCGTCTTCTCATGACGACCTCGTAGTTGTCGAGCATCCGCTCGTATGTGGCTCCTTAGGAGTTCACATGTATTCCTCCGACCAATAATTTCATTTCAAGAGTCATTTCACAGGCGATATTTCGAGAGGTGCCTTTCCTGAAACAGATCTGCAATTGGAAGTAAACAGCCCAATAGTCGCAATGCCTATTCCAACCTAGTGCCACCGTATCATAGTGGATTTATAATTTGTTGGGTTCTAGAATATTCTTTGCCCCAAAGCCAAGAAGGGCGTAAATTGAATCCTGCCCAACCGTGGGAGTTAGTTAGCCGGCCAAGAAGCAATCTTCGCCTCACAGCAGTGCGTGTGTATAAGCTCGTCACGCTACACACATCTGGAACAGCCAAGAAGAATCGCATCCGAATCCGAGTCGAAGGCAATTACAAATACATTCATCATCGGCAATTTCTCATCAACGTCGGCCCTATTTGTGTCACGCGAGTCCTCCAACTCAAATTTATCACAAACCACCTTGCCTCAACGACCGATGAAGCCGAGAGTATAAACGAAAACATATCCGCACTCGCTCTTAATCTCCCTGCTACAAAACTTTACAGGACGATAACCACATGCCAATCCCTCCTCCACTTCCTCCCTCACTCCCCCCACCGCCACTACACGGTGAGATGACAATCCTCGATGTCGTAATGGACAAGTTCCATCCGACTAACAACAGTAATTGTATCACAACCCATACCCAACCTGTCACGTCTCATATTGACCAACCCATGTCTTACTCCTCCTGACAGACTTCCTCGCGGAAAAAGCAAAGATCTTTAACGCGCGCCTTGTTGAGGCTGAACGAGTGCTCATTCAGCAGCACCAGATTCATGAGTCATTAATAGACCCTGAAATTAGAGCAGCTTTCGAAGCCATTTCAGTCTTACTCAAGGATTCACGTGAGAAAATTCTCTCAGGAGAGACACTCAGTCGCCCACACAGGTCTAACGGGTTATCCTACGCTCAACCCACAGATCTTCACATAATTTTTTTTTGCATCAGATTTTAATTGCATATGCAGCTATCTAGCTATGATAGAATATCAGAGGAGTGTATAATAGATGACTCAATTTAAACATAGAGCACTCATGCCTCGGACTACATTTGCAAGTACCACTGCGAAGTTATGGTGGCTTTTTCTTCACCCCTAGTCTACCCTCATCCGTGAATACCCACCCAGGGGAACGTCTCAAAAACCCTGAGTTATCCAGACATGCCTCCGTCATCCATTATCTTTCCTCCGCGCGAAATATGGTCTGAGATGTTTCCTTCCCAAGTGGAGTAGGTGCCCAGGCTACTCAGACTATACCGGAGAACACCATCAGGAGGCGGACCACAACACCTTCCATCGTCGGCTTGTTTTTATAGTGTCAGCTGCACTCTCGCAAGCAAAGTCTTGGCACGCGCAAAGCTCAATTTGTAAAGAATCCTTGCCAAAGTTCGGAATTTCACGCCCGTCGAGAATGTATCCCTCTTCTGCATCATCTTATAAACTTGTCCTGATCCCTCTCACGTCCGTCCCAAAGAGCTATCTCCCAAAATTGTGCTCCACGCTTTGCTTCCTCCGTCGGGTGTAAATATCGGCGTGGGCGTGTATTTGGTGACCAGCTGAGGCCAGAGAAAGTCGACGAGAGGTGTGGTCATTGAAATGAGGATGTACTAGGTCGTACTTGTAGACTTGATGAGACTTAGGTAGAAGTCAAACTCGTTGGGAGCGAAAAAACGACATGGAGGAGTAGTTTGAATCATTACCTCGTGGGCCAACTTGCTCGATATTGCGAAATTTGACTGAACTTTGCTCGGGGAGAATATTTCACTCCCAGGTTCGTCGAGGACACCGCGTACAGGTGTTCAGTCTTGCCCTCCAAGATTTTACATAGTCATAGACTTATTAGGAAAATAAACAAATACTCAGTACTTGCTCCCTATAGAAATATACCTGAAACAAAGGAAGGTCCAGCACCCCGGACTATCAGACAAACTCCCAGTGCAACAGACAATCCGATCGACATGTAAGAGGATAAAGCTGCCCGCAAACGAGAGAAAAATTCCGCATGTATTGACCAAGAGTAGAGATATCGCCGAATGGACAAGAATTTGCGGAAAAGAAAAAGACAAGAGAAGGCAGGAAGAAGCTGAAAAGATAGCGGGCTTTCACGAGTGGAAGGATTCATGTACAAGTCAGATCAGGAACCAGCGCCCTGGCGGACCAGCATCAGCCGATCCAGAATATTGGAAAGCGGCCAATATATTAACTGATGAATAAACAGGAAGCGCCAAAATGAACTTCAAAGATATACCCTTAAGAATCCACCGTAACCTAACCGGGGCCCCAAGCAGTGTCGCCATTCAGCTAAGGAGCGAGCATATCGGACTCAACTCTTACCTGAACAGAAGAAAAGTACCCGGAGTAGAAAATTCAAGCTGTCAATGTGGATATCCGTCGCAAAACGTCTAGCATATGGCGTTGGCGTGTCCGCAGTGGGCAAATGAAAGAGGTGACTTTCTCCGACAAGCTAAAGACAGGTCATTTGAAGTAATGATGAACAGCCCAGAAGACATGGCTAGTATTCCACAGTGGATACTAAACAAAGAGTGGATAAAACAGTTTCGACTTGCAGGGGAAGTAGAGGGAGAAATTTCAGATAAAGTAAATTGATCTGGAAGGTGAGAGGACGGAATCCACATGGGCTGAACAGTGTACACTGCACTTCCTGAAGGTAAACCAAATAAATTGATAGGAACATCAAAAGACAGGATTAGGTGGGTTTCACCAAATTGGTTTCCTCCCGGGTAAATAATGCAGATAGTCAGGGGACTATTCTCAACACCTGTCAGCGGTGTCCCCTACGAACCTCCAGCTCTCACTGTAGAGTCTGTAGAGCCGAGATTGAGTAACAAAGTCCTCACTTCGAAGAGGATTCCCAATCGCTTTCGCCATCAGATGGTAGGGTCGGAGCTCTACTCATCACCAAACCTTGATCACGGAGGAAAAGCCACCCGATGAGTTTCCGGAGCGTACCCAGCACCCGATACGGAGATGGCGGATTGGATCAAGTCGGCCTCGACTGTTACAAAGAAGGGAGATATAGATGAATATGCGCCCCTCATGTGGTCCCGGTGTCTAGGCCTCGCCTGGCTGGGGCTGCAGGTTTTTTGAGACTTTTTCCCGCGCACGCAGTTTCCATTGCTACCATTATTATTATTTATTTTTGGGTAGAAGGTTCCGTGGAAAAGGTGGCTGAATTCCACGGGTAAACACTGAGCTGAATGGCTATTCATCAAGGGGAATATATCAATGATCTTTCAAGTAACAAAAGAGGATAGGAGCACTGTACAAGGTGTGGCCTGGGTCAGAGAGGAGCCCAATGTGCTAGATAGTCATAGACTCAAGTATCACAATAAACACAAACACAATGCAGATAGTCACCTGCATGGACCCATAGGGCGCCAAATTAGGATAATGAAATCAAATTCAAATTCAAGTATTTTGAATTTGATTTTGATTTCAATTAAACCGATCAGGCGCCCTATGGGCCTATGCAGGTGTCTACAGTCTATAATATTTACCCGGGAGGAAACCTTTATGGTGAAAACCTCCCGCACCTTTCTTCTTGTTGTCTATAGTTTTCACATATTTTCTTCAGGAAGCGCAGTTACTCTTTAGTGCCATCAATGTAAACTAACCAGATCATCTCTATCCGCCCCCAGCATTATTTGACCTTTTCCTTTCCCTCAGCAGTATTTCGACCGCTTTTGTCATCTGGAATTGCTCTATCCAATCATGGTCTGGGATCCAGTGTGTTATCCTTTTTATATCTTCAGGAATGTTTATCATTGCTTCATCGGATCGATCTTTGGCTTGTCTCCAGATCTCAGCTCTACCATTGGACCATCGGGGGCAGGACATAATCATATGCTTGGGGTTCTGTGATTAGTAACCGCATGGACAACCTGGACCCACGCCGATATTTATACCCGACGGAGGAAGCAAAGCGTGGCGCATAAATCTGGGAGATAGTTCTTTGGGATGGACGTGAGCGGGATTAGGACAATTTTACAAGATGATACGACGGAAGGATTTAACCTCGAAAGGCGTGAAATTCCGAATATTGGCAAGCAGTTTTACGAATTGAGATTTGTGCGCGCCAAGGATTCGCTCGTATGAGTGCAGCTGACACCACATACACAAGCCAATGATGGGGAGGGCAAGACTGAACACCTGTCAGTGGTGCTCTCTACGAACCTGGGAGTGAAATATTCTCCCAGAGCCAAGTTCAGTCAAATTTCGCAATTTCAAAGAAGTTGTCCCACGAGGCAAAAATTCAAATTACTCCACCATGTCAATCTTTCACTCCCAACGAGTTTGACTTCTACCTAAGTCTCATCAAGTCTACAAGTACGACCTAGTACATCCTCATTTCAATGACCACACCTCTCGTCGAATTTCTCTGGCCTCAGCTGGTCACCAAATACACGCCCACGCCGATATTTACACCCGACGGAGGAAGCAAAGCGTGGAGCACAATTTTGGGAGATAGCTCTTTGGGACGGACGTGAGAGGGATCAGGACAAGTTTATAAGATGATGCAGAAGAGGGATACATTCTCGACGGGCGTGAAATTCCGAACTTTGGCAAGGATTCTTTACAAATTGAGCTTTGCGCGTGCCAAGACTTTGCTTGCGAGAGTGCAGCTGACACTATAAAAACAAGCCGACGATGGAAGGTGTTGTGGTCCGCCTCCTGATGGTGTTCTCCGGTATAGTCTGAGTAGCCTGGGCACCTACTCCACTTGGGAAGGAAACATCTCAGACCATATTTCGCGCGGAGGAAAGATAATGGATGACGGAGGCATGTCTGGATAACTCAGGGTTTTTGAGACGTTCCCCTGGGTGGGTATTCACGGATGAGGGTAGACTAGGGGTGAAGAAAAAGCCACCATAACTTCGCAGTGGTACTTGCAAATGTAGTCCGAGGCATGAGTGCTCTATATTTAAATTGAGTCATCTATTATACACTCCTCTGATATTCTATCGTAGCTAGATAGCTGCATATGCAATTCAAATCTGATGCAAAAAAAGAAAGGACAACCGGGACTTAATCCTTCGGAGACTTTTCTTCTGTGTAAATACGAGTTAAGCCCCATGTGCTCACTTCGTATGTACATTACCAAACTACCTTGGGCCCTTATCAGGTTACGGTGTAGGAAGAATGGTGAGCCTTGAAAACTCAGTTTTTGCCGTCCGGACTCTCTACTTTGGGAAAATGTGGCTGCTCTCCAAGTTTCGGAATCTGCAGTTGCTAACTACCGAGGCTTCTGAGTTTGTTTCTGCTTTGCCCAGGACTTCGTCCACTCTTGGTATGCCATGATTTGACTATCTCTGTATGTGTCTTCTTTGTTTGTTGTTCACCGCACATTCCTGTCCAGTTGGCAAGATCTATCCTTCTGTTAATTGCTCGTATATCTTCTATCCCTTTTCTGGGCAGCTTGATTTTACTACAGGCGGACTGGATTGTCTTCTGGACAGGTAAGTCCTTTGTGCGACCTAAATATTGAAGCCTTTGTTACTTCAAGAATATTTCGACCGGAAGGGTCGCTGTTTCGTGTTCTAGCACTCTAGTGCTCGTAGACTTGTATGTCCTGGTGTCAATTTTGAGACAATTTCTCTGTATGCTTCTGAGAGGTCTTACTATCATCTCTGGTATTTTCACACCCGGCAATTCAATATACTTAATATGTTAGAATTTAGAATAATTGAGGCTATCAAGTGGGACACGTTGCTAATATACACGTGACTGTAAATTATGTACTTAGTTTCATTTCGGTAGTTACTTGAATCTAAGCCCTCTACAACCTCAATGACCGAGGGGTCTCTATTTCATTCACTGTCGACTTCACGCACGCCAGACGCGTCGACTACGAGGTACAATGTCACATCACGACTTTGTCCACAAGCTTCTCGGGCCTAAGTGCCTCGATGTCAGGCGCAGGTTCACTAGGCGCAGGACTCGAGGCGTAGGAGAGGGCGTAGCGTAGGATGTACTGAGGAAGGACGCCTCGTGGTAACGCGGAGGGCTTTCTGGAGAAGTGGTAAAAGGGAAAGCGGGGAGTCGTTCTAGATAGAGGGGCCGGAGGTGACAGTAGGTCACTATGTTTGGCAGAGGACGAGAGTGAGATGTGATTAGAATAATGTAACTATTCCTAAAGACAGAAAACATAGCGTGGAGATATCAGACTCGGAAATGGAAACTACATAGGTGCCCTCGCTAAGCAATAAAGACTAGTGGGATTAAATAAGGAACCCATAAATCCTGCCTGAGGGACTTCTCAAGAATCCTTACACTCGAGAACTTTACAAAATTTGCGCAGGAAACCGGCTGCTTCGGGGGCACACCTACGGATCCGTCTCCAGCTCTCAGCGGAGACGGTGGTAATTAGTCATAGCACGATGTATGGCAGGTAGGAAAACGAGACGAGAAGTGTCGTTTTTCTAACCACAAACTGGAATACTTGGCTTGGAACTTTAGCTATGGGAGTTTACGGGAGTTTCTATTTTTCCTTCTTTCAACTAGCTACTGGTTGTGTAGTGGTTCACGCGGTGAAACCGAGGTGGGCATGCGGAAAGCATGATTTCGGCCGTGTACACCGGTCTTTGACTCCTAGGAGATATAGAGCATAGCTTAGGACCGTAAAACAATTCAATTCAATGACCGAGGGGTCATTATTTCCTTAATATAATACTTAGTAAAGCCCAGTGTGGCTAAACAAGGAACCCATAAATTATGCCTGAGGCATTTATCCAGAATCTATACACAGGGTTTTTGAGACTTTTCCCTGGGTATGTATTCACGGATGAGAGTAAACAAGGGGTGAAGAAAAAGCCACCATAACTTCGCAGTGGTGATTGCAAGTGAAACCCGAGGCATGGGTGCTCTTCTCGTATGTTGTATGTTGAGTCATCTTTCCTGTACTTTTTCTCTGATATTGCGTCAAGTCTAGCTAGCTGCTTACACAATCAAAATCTGATGTAATAAAATAATTATCATCTAGATTCTTATCGTTAGGTGAGTAAATTTAGATTTCAATTTAAGTAGTAAATTTTATTCATATTATTTGAGAAGTGCAGAAAAAAAGTCAATTAAAATTTGCACAGTAAATGACAGCCTGATCTTCAAATTTAACAACATGGCGGTGTTAGATTCATTATGTGGGAAATTTGATTTCCTAAAACCTTATTAAATAAACGCAAATAGTTAATTTGTCACAACGCAAAATTTTTAGGAAGTACAATGGTTGGAAGCCTAACGACGAATGATGAGAACATAGACTTAGTAAGTCGCTACCCGGAAACTAACTTCGAAATTATGGGGATGCATCAAGATCGGTCGTTTGATCATTCGTTTGTTTAGGAGTGAGGAGATAACACTTGCATATGGTATTGGTCTTACGAGTAATGCTTTTTTTCACTGCAGCGATAGTTTCACAGGGCTCTAAGCACCGTTATGCTTCATATCACAATGAAATAATATGTGGACATAACGCATTAGAGGTGTGAGTTTTGCCCCGTCAAAAATTAAATTTAATGCTGCACCTGCATTCTAATGAACCGTATGGCAGTATGGTGTACCTTTTAGGCCGGGCATAGGAACTATGATCTAACATGGAATGAATATAAACATCAAGTATATTGGTTGCATAGCCTCTTTTCATGCAAAAAGGAATCAACACCCAAGCACACAGCTCAACCGGGACTTTTGTTGGGAACAGTTAAATTTTAGTTTACACATACCTGCCATTATTTTTCCTCAATATTACAACCGCGCAGGAATCTTTGAGGTTTTGTTAATATAAAAATGTGTTGCTCAGAGATCTTTGTCTTGGATAACAGACATAGTTTTTTATGAAGCAGAGGCATAACAACCTGTAAGGTTTGTTAGAAACTACACCAACATATTGTTAGACAAACAACTTTTGGTTACAAAATCTACACCCCGAAGACGATTGAATTTAAATAATACTGACAGGTATTTTAAAATTGACTCATCGCAGGGACCGTCCAAAAAATACCATGTTTATTTCTTTAATTATGATAGTGTTCGGTCGCCATCATCCTCATCGTTAGAGGCTGTATTGCTGATGTTTCTAGCTGACTCGACTTGTTTTCCAGACTTTCCCTGATCCCTTTCCGTAGCTGTTACGTTTAGATCTACGGTGGGCGCATCAAAGTTGATTTTCTTCTCTTTCAAATATGCATTAATAGCAGGTATGGCCCTGACAAGTGCCTTGTACTGATCAATATTTAAGGAAATCCCCTGTATAAAAAATGTTAGGGAGTTTTGATAATGAATTATTTTCCAGTGATCACCTTCTTGCCCGGTAAAAGCCCACCGTCTTTCTCGTAGAATTCTCGAATATTTATGAGATTAGCCCCTTTGAACTCGGTCACTTCTACGAATCGAGGTTGTTTACCGGAAGAAAGCTAGTTGGTGAGTTTTTAATAAGTTGTCTAATCACATTGCTGTAGTGACACTTAATAAACAGGGAATATTTACCTCCCAAGCGTTTTTTGATTCACAAATATCTTTCGAATTAGACTCCTTTCTGCCTTTTGATTTCTTTGAGGGTGGTGCCTCATTCTCAACAAATCCGTCGTCGGAATCGTGGGGGTCATTTTTTCCACGGATACGCTTAGTGTGTTTAACCATGTTGGGTATCTGTCTAAGATGTTGATTTTCTCTCTTGAGACGCTAATGAAAGCTTGGAGCGTGGGAGGAAACGCGTAATGATTTACAATAAGCCAAGGGTAGGTTTTTATGGGGCACGCAAGCTAGCCTGCAACTTAGTCAACAGAGTTACCAGCTGGTTTCATCAACCGCGTCAGCACCTTCGCCGAAACCCGTCAGCTTTCTAGCCTCATAACATACTACCGTCCACTTTTCGAATCTTTGATTATCATTTTTAAAAGCTAACAATTTCGGTCCTTCTCTTCTTTAAGGCTTTATCACAGGAAGTTTATTTGGGCTAGAGAGAAGCATCTACTTCATTATGCTCTACCGGTGGAGATCGACAAAATGAAAGGAATGGCAGCGGACACTGTGGCTGACGATAACATTACGCCAGAAATTACTTCTAACGTTTCTGCGCCTTTCCTGATTAACGACGCCTTTGAGCAAATAACTAGCGGCTCCTTAAATTTTCTTTCAGTTGCGTCCCCGGAGGCGATCGGGGGGGTTGCTGTCGTGCTTGCCGTTTTAACATACTTGGTGCTTGGAAGAGTTGGGCTTGTACTTCTAGGAGTTTTGGGGGGGATAGTTCTACATGAGACTTGGGAACGACGAAATGCTAGCGACAATGTTGATGCGCGAAATGAAAAGTCCCTGGATATTATAAAGAGGTTGCTTGACAAGAAATCCCAAGAGCATAAGATCGAAAATCATTATGCCAAGACTAGAACAGCTGATGATAGTTCCGCTAGTATTCCCCCAGAAACAGCATCTGCCATCAGCGAACTGGTTGATGCTATTATCAGAGATTATGTTGAGTGGTGGTATAATCCAATAAATCCAAAAGACACTTCGTTTGCAACAGCTTCTCGTCAGACATTAAACCGGGCCCTCAAATCAATTTATGTTCATTTATCCAACAAGAGGGCCGCAGATAGCTTTCTCGACTTTCTCACTAACTGCTCCTCCATGACAATCGTTTTCCTCACTGAGCTTTCAACTGCACTATCAACATCTTCAAAGCCCGCGGAGGAAGCCGTATACTCATACCTTTCTGCAAATCCCGACTCAAGTCTCGCAAACGTTCTAAATGAACAGAATCAATCCAAGAAGCTCAAAATGATAACTATCGATCTTCTAAGAAACTTCCTGGAGAAGTCAACTCTTGAATGTGAACCAACAAAAACATTCCTTACCGAAATTGTCAGTGGCTTGGTTCTTGAAATGGCACTTAAAACATGTTCTAAACCTGAATGGATAAATCAATGGATAGTTTCCCTACTAGAGGATGGGGAACCCGATTTAAGCCAAGCGATCGATGCTGGTATGGACCCCAGCACTGACCTACCAAGTAGCCCCTTCCCAAATCTAGAGAATGATATAGGAACATGTCGAGCTCAACTATCATCAGAAATGAAGAAGCAGATTGCATTAAGCGCGGTAGATGACGATATGAGTGAGGCTTTAGAAGAAGTAAAGCGTCTCTCGAATTTAATCGCTGAGGAGGACGCCAAAAAGAAAACTGCCTCACGAGTACATTCAGAGATGGATGAAAAACTTCACGCTGCACCTTCAGAATACAACCTTAAAGACACGCAATCGGGTCCCATTGTATCTAGAAAAAGATCCATACGATCATCTGTTTCTGAAACGATAAGAACTCCTGAAAATAGGTATTCAAATATAGTCAAGCTTGACACATCCCGGACACCTACAAGAACACGTGAATCATCTATATCGCCAACAATATCTGTCAATAATTCTTTTACAAACTTCGATCAGATTGTGCCTTCGAATGTACTACATGGTCTACAGGATAACTTTCAGTCTTTAGATAAGAGGCCAATATTCCCAACACTGCACAACGCAAACATTGTCGTGTATGATGACAGTCCTATTAATGACAGAGGAAAGTTGCGGAATAAACCCATTCTAGAATATTTGATACAGATTGAGCCAGCGAGTTCTGATTATCCAGGGTGGATGATTGTTCGACGGTATGCTGACTTTGAGATACTTCACGAAGTCTTGCGTAGGATTGCACAAGTCTCGGGTGTAACCGCATTTTCTGAACAGCACCAAGCTCTTCCTAGCTGGAAAGACTACGCCAAGAAGTCTCTAAGGGGTGAACTTGAGCGATACTTGCGAGACTCTCTATGGTACCAGCCCCTTGCCGATAGCGAAGGTATGAAACGATTCCTCAAAAAAGATCAAGAGCCTCAAACGTCCGGACAACCAGTTAAAAATGGATTTCCCGGCCTAGGATGGCCTACTCCGTCGGCTTTCGAAAATATGGGAAAGGGCGTACTGGAAGTTCTTACTAGTGCACCCAAGGGTGTGGCAGAGGGTGGGAAAGCTATTACGGGAGTATTAAATAATATTGGTAACCTTGGTCATCGTAAATCGACAGCCGGGCAACCGTCTTATAGCGAAACGTACAATACAGCACGATTTTCGGTCCCTTCATTCCCCCGGTCAGAAACAACAAACTCACTCGGCTCATTTCAGGTAAACCGTACGAGCGAAGATAGCACTCGTTCATCCATACCACAAACACAATCCACCAAAAGTTTCCCAACAGAGCAGAGGTCAGGCTATATTCCTTTTGTTGAAGAAGAAACTAGACAAGAAGCTCGGTCATCATCATCTACAAGATCATCTATCAGTGGGCGTAGAGGCACAATTCATCACGATTCAAGTAGGGCTTCGTCTCGAAAAGGTACACCCAACTCCTCACCTGTACAGAGCTCCTTGTGCCTGAGCTCGCTTCCGCCTCTACCTGATGAGATACCTGATAATTATGTTGCTCAGAGAGAAGGTTACTTAGCAACAAAACCCCGTACGGGTAGTAACCACACAAAACGCCGCTCATCTTCATGCACGGCGTCCTCACATCAGTGGTCCGATCGTCAAATGGGAAGGAAGAGCAGTAGTATCACCCTAGAATCACCGATAGCCCGAAAAGTCCGCCAAGAGTCTACACCGCTGACAGAAGCTGAAACAAAAGTAGCAGTTGAACTCATATTTGCTGTAATTAACGAAATGTACACAATATCCTCAGCATGGAATATTCGTCGGACGCTTCTTGCAGCTGCCAAGGCTTACTTTCTCCGACCTGGAAATCCATCTCTGGCGCAAATTCGAACATTGCTGCAGGAATCAGTTATCTCAGCCAACACATCAGATGCTAGTATTGCCGCTTACTTGCGAAAGGTAAGGGAGAATTGTCTACCTACAGAGGATGAAATGAAATCGTGGCCAGCAGCTATTTCGGAAGAAGAAAAAGAAAGATTACGCGTCAAGGCCCGAAAGCTCCTGGTTGAGCGAGGTGTACCGACAGCTTTAATGGGAGTTATGGGGCAAGCTGCTACAAGCGAAGCGTTGGGTCGCATATTCGATTGCCTACAGATAGAGGAAGTTTCACGTGGATTGATTTTTGGGTTTCTATTACAGGCACTACGTATTATTACACATTAAATGGGATCAAGATTAGTGATAATTATGGGCAAAAATGAGTGAAATGTTTGTATTAACCGTGGTATTAGAGGTGGTTATAGACTACAAACAACTTGTCGACCAATGCCTCATCTGAGTGCATCTACGGAAACAATATGTAAAATATGAATGGAATTCGAGTTCATCTGCGCAAACCAAGGTTTCCGGAGGATAGTTTAGTGAAGTTTGTTCGCGCCGAACTGGATGTCTTGCCCTGTGCAAATAATGCCTGGTTCAGGCTGCTAGAGCAACACTTTTTCCATCCTGACCCAAACAGCTTTAACATTTAGAGTTAACCCAATAGACTCGTCGCTAGGAGCAGGTCATAAAGGAAATCTATCAGCCACGCCCCATCCACCACCACCTGGTGTATGAATGATGATCCTCTCACCTGCCTGCATAGCAGCCGTATTTTTGCCCCCGAGGTTAATCCTACGCTCTTCATATATGACATCTTTTCTGATGCTAGAATGTTGATCAATTGGTCTATCATCAAGTTGAGGGTCACCCTTCACCACCTTGCGTACCCAGATGTTGAGGCCGCATTTAGCATCGCTACCCCCAGACATACCGTATGGGTGATAGACACGTCTTTCACTTAAGATTGAAACCAGAACTGATCTGCGAAATTCAATATCTCGTATTAACCCATTACCACCTCGATACTTCCCAGCGCCCCCAGAGCCTTCACGTATCTTTTATCCCCAAAAATTAGCTTTATCAAGTGGTGAAAACAAGTGGGATCATTTAGTAGTTAAATCCACTTTTTGAGAAAAGACTAACTTACCGAGAATTCCCTTAGGAGCACAGGATAGCGTCTTTCAAATATTTCAGCATCTGTAATACGCGTGTTGGTCATGTGTGTATGTACGCCACTAGTACCGTGCCAATCTTCACCAGCTCCACTTCCACCAGCTATAGTTTCGTAGTAACCAAACCCTTTAATTTCGTCCTGTCCTTCGCTATTACTACCAAAACCAAATGTTAGATTATTACAGTCACCCTGTGATGCAGCGCACGCTTTAAAAGCTTTCAGTATGACATCAGTAATACGCTGAGACGTTAGTACGTTTCCACCGACAACTGCAGCTTTTTCAGAAGGTGATAAGAGAGATCTCGGTGGAATAATGACTTTGATGGGCTTCAGACATCCTTGATTAAGTGGTATATCTTGCGAAATAAGGCAGCGAAGGCAGTAAATAACGGCGCTGTAAGTAATGGCAGTAGGGGCATTTGTATTGGCTTAAATAAGTCAGCAAAATAATCAGTAATAAATTCCCATTTCCATGGGATCATGACACACCGTATACTTCAGAACCGGTCCCAGTAAAATCAAACACTGCTTCGCCCTTATCTGAATTTATGGTAACACGCAGTTTAATTGGGCTTCCATCATCCATGTAATCAATGGCAGAAAGTTCTTGCCTTTCGAAACGTCTACTTACATCTTTTAGAAGATTCCGAACACTTGATTCTGCATTTTTCTGGATACTCATCATGTTGAGGTTTACGGTATTCTCTCCATACTCTTCAATAAGCGCTGAGATAAGATCTATCCCTTTTTTGTTGCTCGCTATCTGAGCTTTTAAGTCTGATAAATTGTCACTCAAACATCTTGTTCCACTACAGTCAGGGTATTTGGCAGGCTCTTTGAGCAAGAGCTGAATAATGCGTGCTTCATTGAATATTCCGGCTCTGACTAATAATTCCGATTTAATAGCTGCGCCTTCTTGATAGAGTTCTCGAGAATATGGTGGCATACTACCAGGTAATATACCACCTATATCTGCATGATGAGCCCTTGACGCTACATAAAATATTATTTTTTCTCCGGCTAAATCGAAAGCAGGGGTTATAACCGTAATATCTGGCAGATGAGCTAAAGATAACAAGAATCAATAATTTAATTAGGTGCTTCGAGCTTGAATCATTGCCAATGTAAGGATGAATTTACAATCTATAGAAAATGAAAGTCTATCACCCAGTGAGTAAAGTAAAAAGAGCAACTTACTTCCGCCAAATTCCGGATGGTTGGAAACTATCACATCTCCTTCAACCAGTTTATCGCGCCAGATTTCGGCCTGCTTTTGGATACAAGTCGACATTGATCCCAAATGGACAGGAAGATGGGGGGCATTAGCTACAAGCCCCCCATCTGCATCAAATAAAGCGCATGAGTAATCAAGTCGCTCTTTAATATTTGTACTTATGCTTGTTTTCTGTAAGGCCCTACCCATTTGTTCGGCTATAGCCATGAAGCGATGAGAGAATATACTAAGTTGGATCGGGTCAACTTCCTCAGACAACATCTTCTCTTTATCTCTATATTAAAGTTAGACTATTGAGGCTATTGAGACGAGCTAAATTTTTACGTACGAGGTTCTGATTATTTTTTTATCAACGGTGATGACTACATGAGTATTAATTACTAATGATGTTGCACCTGGAGCTAAAAATATTATTAGTATGGCGCGCCTCATAATTTATTACAGTTAAAGTATATAAGCACATGGGCATGATTATTGAATTTCACACTAATTAATATGCTTGAAAGACTTACAAACGACAATTGTTTGATTTTGATCAGCAATTATTGCCGGTCCATTAATCTTATCACCAATGTCGAGTCCTTCAAGCCGGTAGATAGGAGTTATTTGACGGTGCCCGTCGAAGTATATGGAAGATTTCTTGAATTCTTTTTCTCCTGGTAATAAGTCCTTAATTTTAATTTCCTCAAGCTGTTTATCAACTGTTTTATCAGCCCGCGTTAAATTTTTGCCTTTGCCGCGGATTCGAATATCATCAATAATTATTTCTCTATCTGGTATTTCAAATCCATACTCCCGCCGATGCTCTTGGATAAAAGCTTTTCCAAAGGAAAATTTTCGACCACATTTTTTCATATTCACGACCTCTGGATTCATGATCATCAGTGCTGATTCAGTGCCTTTATATCGCATATTAAGATATTGCTCAAATTCTATGCAATTGTCATCGAATCCTTGTTGACGAAGCTCGGAAATCACCTGATGGCCCAGTCCTAGAATTCTTTCTTCGAGTGAGTTACTTACAAAATCATCATCATTCCAAATTTCTGATGCCGGTTCTTGCCTTTCAATTACAATATCAGCAAGAGACATTCCATATGCAGATAAAACTGAAGAATAACGATGAACAAGTATCTCCCGAATCCCAAGACTCTGTGCTATTGCTACAGCGTGTTGACCACCTGCACCGCCAAATGTTGCCAGACGATGTTTTGATACATCCTGTTGATATATCAGTATTTCTTGAACGGATCTTTGGGACTAAAAATATTATTTATAAAGTAGACTACTCACATAACCTTTAGCTTCGGTCAGCGAGCGAATAGGTCTTGTCATTGCCTAAGCGTTGATTAAATCGTTAGTGCTTTTCAATTGAAATACCAACACAAAAATGAGTAAAATTTTTAATCACTGGTTGGAATACCTCGTTAGCTACTTTCAAGAATCCAAGTGCAGTCTCATCCACGCTTATGGGTTTCTTTGTTTCTTTGCTGATCTGCTCAGCGAGTTCATTGAGTTTATTTTTGCTCGCTATAACATCAAGTCCTTCATCTTCATTTTTACCGAATATTTTTGGAAAAAACTCAGATCGAAGAAGTCCTAAAACTAAGTTTGCATCTGTCACAGTTGCAGGGCCTCCCTTTCGGTAGCAAGCTGGACCTGGATGTGCCCCCGCAGACTCTGGGCCAACTACAAATAGCCCATTTCGAAAAAATAGGCACGATCCACCTCCTGCGGCTACCGTATTTATATCGAGCTGCGGAGATAGAATTGTCACACCAGCTGTAGTAGTTTCAAATACATGGTCATATCTTCCAGAGCCATATCTGGACACATCTGTTGAGGTACCACCCATATCAAAGCCGATCACTGGTATCTTTGTTGCCGAGTCATAGGAGGTCATGGCATACCCAACAACTCCGCCAGCTGGTCCAGAAAGAATAGCTTTGAGCCCCGAGAAATTTTGAACATGAACAAGACCTCCATCACTCTGCATGAATTCACATCTTGTATCTGAATCACTTTCTTTCTTTATACCTTTATTTTCTATATTTTCTTTCAACCTTTTTTGGAATCCTGCAATGTATTTCTTAATAACTGGAGTAAGATAAGCATCAACACATGTAGAAGTAGCTCTGGGAAGAAATTTTATCATTGGCATAAGCTGATGGCTTAGGGATACATTCGTAAATCCAATTTCGTCTGCAATTAGTCCTATAATTACTTCATGGTTCGGAAATGTATAAGCGTGCATTAGACAAACTGCTATGCTGCGTATTCCTAGGTCATAAACATCCTGTAGCTGTTTTCGAATAGTATGCTCCTGAGGGCGACTTATGATCCGAACAATTTCTGAAGATAGACCCTTTACAAGCTCAAGGTTCGTATTATCAAACCCTAATTTTCCTGGTTCAACTGTGCTGATAAATCCGGTTGGATCTTCACTGTAATCCTCAAGAGTCACCCTTTCGTCAATTTCAATAATCTTTTCGTAGAGAATATCCGGTTTCTTGATAGATAAGTCAAAAATCTTTGGACGCGTTTGGTTACCAATTTTTAAGCAGTCTTTGAACCCTTTTGTCACGATCATTGCTATCCTCTCACCTTTCCGTTCTAGAAGCGCATTAGTAGCGACAGTTGTACCCATCCGAATTGATTCAATATCAGACGTATCCAGTATTTCATTTCGTGTAATTTCTTTTCCTCTAAACTTAGACAAAATTCGTCTGATACCTTCAAGTGGCGCATCTTCGTAGTTAGAAGGGTCCTCTGAGAGCAGCTTCACGACAATATTGTCTTCTGCATTACCGGACCCAGGATTTCCGATACAGTCAGTGAAAGTTCCGCCCCTCTTTTGTTATTTTCAGTTTGAGTGTTGATCAAATGAGATAGAAGCCGTCGAGGACTATTTCACTTACATCAATAGCTATACGAATCCTTCCGGGTAGAGACATAATCATATAGAAACAGATTCAAACTTCTTTATACCCATTAACATTGATCACACATGGATACAAGGGTAGTTAACGTTTTAACTGTTCTGCTATGTAATGGATCCATGTATGTGCGGGGAATGAATATCTAGTGCATCATTTTAGAATTGAATTTTTTTACCAAAGAAATGAACCTTTATGGCGCTCTGATCTAGCGATTGAAATTCGGCTAATTGCAGTAGATTAAGGTGAATAGTGTCATAAATGCACTTTTCACATTAGTAGTAAATCGTCATCCACGTATTGTAGTATGCAGAGCCGAAGGAGGGCAAGACTGAACACCTGTACGCGGTGTCCTCGACGGACCTGGGAGTGAAATATTCTCCCCGAGCAAAGTTCAGTCAAATTTCGCAATATCGAGCAAGTTGGCCCACGAGGTAATGATTCAAACTACTCCTCCACGTCGTTTTTTCGCTCCCAACGAGTTTGACTTCTACCTAAGTCTCATCAAGTCTACAAGTACGACCTAGTACATCCTCATTTCAATGACCACACCTCTCGTCGACTTTCTCTGGCCTCAGCTGGTCACCAAATACACGCCCACGCCGATATTTACACCCGACGGAGGAAGCAAAGCGTGGAGCACAATTTTGGGAGATAGCTCTTTGGGACGGACGTGAGAGGGATCAGGACAAGTTTATAAGATGATGCAGAAGAGGGATACATTCTCGACGGGCGTGAAATTCCGAACTTTGGCAAGGATTCTTTACAAATTGAGCTTTGCGCGTGCCAAGACTTTGCTTGCGAGAGTGCAGCTGACACTATAAAAACAAGCCGACGATGGAAGGTGTTGTGGTCCGCCTCCTGATGGTGTTCTCCGGTATAGTCTGAGTAGCCTGGGCACCTACTCCACTTGGGAAGGAAACATCTCAGACCATATTTCGCGCGGAGGAAAGATAATGGATGACGGAGGCATGTCTGGATAACTCAGGGTTTTTGAGACGTTCCCCTGGGTGGGTATTCACGGATGAGGGTAGACTAGGGGTGAAGAAAAAGCCACCATAACTTCGCAGTGGTACTTGCAAATGTAGTCCGAGGCATGAGTGCTCTATGTTTAAATTGAGTCATCTATTATACACTCCTCTGATATTCTATCATAGCTAGATAGCTGCATATGCAATTAAAATCTGATGCAAAAAAAAATTATGTAAAGACATGTAGGTCCTTTCTGTCTACAGGCCGGGAGTATCTATGCCTCGGGTAGTGTACTCCCTCCTTTGCCTCCCTCCCGACTTCTTTCCAGTAGTTATACCCCCACAGGCCTTCATTCGAGTACACACTAAGAGGAGCTGTTATCCCGTCATTATCTCCCCTCTCCAGCCAACGAAACGATGGCCATTTGCGGGTGTATCGCTGCAGGGAAAAGTCTGAAAAACCACTGGGTACGGGGCTCTCCTATGACAAAGAGGCCGACCAGCCGAGCGCAGCAGACCTGTGTATACCTAAGAGCGTCTCTTAACCTTCCTAGCCTCCCCCTTACTCTTCATTTGATTCATGCCGCAGGACAAACCGAAGGTCGTGAAAGGATGTCAGAAAAGTCTTGGTCGAGAGTGATTGTCATGAAGGAGCGTAGCCTAGCATCTAAAAGTCGTAACGGACGTGGGTTGTCGAGTAACTCATGTATTTCAGATGCCCTCCTGGCTAGTAGATTCGGAGGTATAAATTAGTAGAGACGATATTTTTGACGAGTCGAAATCTGCTTTTCTTGAGGGCGGAAGGGTCTATTACTTTACTTTCATGGGCTTTTTGTTCGCCCGTCGGTGAGTAGCATATGTTGTGATATAACGAGGGCTTCTCTGACTACCGTTGTAGCGTTTGGTGCCGCATTATCTTTCCCCATTGCCAGCATCATTATTGTCGTCTTGGTCGTATTATGTGTTATCGGAAGCGTATCTTTGACGGAGGGGGAGATAACTCAGGTCAAAGTTGAAAAGGTGGTATTTCTCAATCTCGGCTCTATAGACTCTACAGTGAGAGCTGGAGGTTCGTAGGGGACACCACTGACAGGTGTTGAGAATAGTCCCCCCCGACTAGGCCTTTTTTTAAAAATCATTTAATGTATATTCAGCTATCTAGCTATGACACATGACCAGTGCTATACATACATGTTGGATGACTCTTTTGACATTAGAGACACTCCTACTCTGGATTTCATTTGCAAATACCACTGAGGTATGTTCGCTTACACAAACAGTCAACCCTCCTCCGTTAGTACCCAACGAAGGGAATTTCGAAACCTTTGGTTATCCTAGCATTCCTTCGTCATCCATGCATACTAGCGCCGCGAGAAAAGTGGTTGTGTCTTGACGGATTTGAACCAGCGATCTATTGTCTCAAGTGGGACATGTGTCCAAGCTATCCAGACTCTACTTGGCAGACCAGCCAAGACGATTTACCACAGCATCATGCAGCTTTGGCAGTGTTTATATCATCACCCGCACTATCGAAACCGAAGTCTTGGTACGCACAAAGCTCAATTCGTGAAATTCCTGGCCAAAATGCGTAATTCCACGCCCATCGAGACTATATCCGTCCTCTGTATCATCTTATAAACTTGTCTTGATCCCTCTCACGTCCATCCCAAAGATCAGTTTTCCAGATTTGTGCGCCACGCTTTGCTTCCTTCGTCGGGTGTAAATATCGGCGTGGGCGAGTATTCGATGACCAGCTGAGGCCAGAGAAGGTTGAAGAGTGGTGTGGTCATGGGAATGAGGATGTACTAGGTCGTACTTGTACACTTGATGAGGTTTAGGTATGAGTCTGACTCTTTGGGAGTGAAATACTGATAAAGTGGAGTATTTTGAATCATTGCCTCGTGGGCCAACTTGTTCAGCACTGCGACATTTGACTGAACTTTGCTTTGGGAGAATATTTCACTACCAGATTCGTAGAGGACACCGTGTACAGGTGTTCAGTCTTGCCCTCCCCTAGGGAATATTATACAATGACATCAAGCTACCTGGGGTGATTATATACGAATCACTGCCGCTAGGAAAAGCTGCAAATTTCATGGAGATATTGTTGTAATTTATGCGACAGGAGTTAAGAGTATACTGCATACCAGCTATATATTCAGCTGTATGTGGATACTTGCTCTGGAAATCAGATTTCTTAAAATATAAATATATGTATGATTTATTGTGTGTATTATAGCTACAACTATTCGTGCTTATTTCCTTGTTTTTTTTTTTTTTTTTTGCATCAGATTTTAATTGCGTATGCAGCTACCTAGCTATGACACAATATCAAAGAAAAGTACAGAATAGATGATTCAACGTAAAGGAAGAGCACTCATGCCTCAGATTTCATTTGCAAGTACCACTGCGAAGTTATGGTGGCTTTTTCTTCACCCCTAGTCTACCCTCATCCGTGAATACCCACCCAGGGGAACGTCTCAAAAACCCTGAGTTATCCAGACATGCCTCCGTCATCCATTATCTTTCCTCCGCGCGAAATATGGTCTGAGATGTTTCCTTCCCAAGTGGAGTAGGTGCCCAGGCTACTCAGACTATACCGGAGAACACCATCAGGAGGCGGACCACAACACCTTCCATCGTCGGCTTGTTTTTATAGTGTCAGCTGCACTCTCGCAAGCAAAGTCTTGGCACGCGCAAAGCTCAATTTGTAAAGAATCCTTGCCAAAGTTCGGAATTTCACGCCCGTCGAGAATGTATCCCTCTTCTGCATCATCTTATAAACTTGTCCTGATCCCTCTCACGTCCGTCCCAAAGAGCTATCTCCCAAAATTGTGCTCCACGCTTTGCTTCCTCCGTCGGGTGTAAATATCGGCGTGGGCGTGTATTTGGTGACCAGCTGAGGCCAGAGAAATTCGACGAGAGGTGTGGTCATTGAAATGAGGATGTACTAGGTCGTACTTGTAGACTTGATGAGACTTAGGTAGAAGTCAAACTCGTTGGGAGCGAAAAAACGACGTGGAGGAGTAGTTTGAATCATTACCTCGTGGGCCAACTTGCTCGATATTGCGAAATTTGACTGAACTTTGCTCGGGGAGAATATTTCACTCTCAGGTTCGTCGAGGACACCGCGTACAGGTGTTCAGTCTTGCCCTACATTTTCTTGTTCGTACGATTACCGTCACACTTCACAATTACGGAAAGTGTTGAATACTAAGCGAGACACGTGATACAATTACAGTTTTATTGCACGACTTTCAACAGATATTAATAACACGTCTTCAGGACATCCATCCCGGGAAAGTCAAGGCGTATTGGATCCCAAGCCACTCTGATACACTGCAACGTTTTGGCCGACGCCTCTGCCCGGGAGTGGCTTTCAAAAACCCTGTCTATACCCCCTTGGGTACGTGTCTTTTGATACCGCGAGAAATCGCATCAAGGCAGAAGTATCGACGGCTATGAAAGACTACTAGAACCGACATGCCCCAGTATCCTATAGGGAGCTTGTCATTGACTCATACTCTCGTAACCCTAAGGAACTCTCACTAGCCAGACCATTTCTCTCTAGACTATACGCTGCCCGCTCAGGATATGGTGACTTTGCAGAGTACCACCGCCGTTTCAATCACGAGGGCGCTAACCTTCATTGTGGCTGCGGACAGCTCAAAGCCCCATTGCACTTCCTAGAGTGCCACCTAACCACTCATAGACCTCCTCGAGCTCCAGCATCTTCAAGAGACCTAAAGAAATTTTTGCTAGGAACCTGGGAAGGGGCCCTACGTGTAGCAAAATGGCTTTCTATTTCAGAGTTTCACATAAAGACCTGCCCTAGAAACCCCAGAGAAGAAATAAATAGGTCTTCAACTCTGCCCTAACTCTGAGCCTTGCATTATGGATGGATGGTGCGGTATTTATGAATGGATCTATTAGTAGTATCTCGAGAGTGGTTGTTATACATCAAATGAGTAAAGAGCCTCGGGGACTGGCTGAAAAAGTGCAGGTTCTATGCTAAACGCAATCATGTAATTAGAGAATTGCCCTGCAAACCTAGTCAGGAAGTAGCAAGAGCGAAGCCACCAGGGCAGTAAGCACTGGCGTCCATGCCTCTAGGTAGTTAAGTGGGTAGTAGGGACCTGAGTCAAGCTTGGCGCCCCGACGGACGAAAAATAGAAAACAAACTAACAACACACACACGTCCGCGCTCCAGCTTGCTGGAATTGCGGATCTAATATGCACTCAGAATCAGAGTGCAAGGCCCTCACCCGGTGTCGAAACTGTGGGGGACCTCACCGATCGGATTCCCGGGCCTGCTTAGCCAGACCCAGCAAGTCCGGACCGGTGACAAAAGAGCAGCTCGCGCGGATCCGCCAGATCCAGCAAGGGGAGTTCGCGAAAGTGGCTCGATTTAGGGCTGCAGCCAAAAGGGCCGAAGAGGCAACGATGGCCTCAACGAAGGATGTCCCGATGGCCGAGGGATCGGGTTTCGGAATCCTGGAATCCGAAGAAGAAGTTTGAGGGTACAGCAACCCTCGGTGAAGTCTACAAAAAGCTTCAAAGTATATAGCAGGATACCAGCTGAATTCAGGGTATCTGCGAACTAGTCTTTCGCTCTCAGCGGAGATAAGAAAAAGACATGTGGAAGATGTGGCAGGAAAGGGAACGGGCGAGAAGCGCGGGATCCGGACCAAACAGTATTTCTTCCAAATTTGATTTCAGTTTTTGATTTATGTTTTTGATTTTAGTTTTGCTGTTAACTTCTACAATTTCAGTAGAAGTTCATGCGGTTGGAATGAGTTGGGCCTGTACGCAGTGATCCTTGCCGGCTCCACCGGTCCTTGACCCAATGTGGAAAAGATAGCGTTAGCTTAGGACCAAATGTAATGAAAAAAAATATTAAAAAAACACACACGTCTTCAGGAAAAATGATTTTTCACACTCAAGCCGGCCTAAAAACTGCATTCTAGGAATGTAATTTGCAGGGGCGTTCACAGTTGTGATGTAATCGATGCAAAAGATAATTATTAGTGGCCGACACACGCGCTCGTGTTCTAATTGCACGGGTAAATGCGAGGCTGGGCTAAGCGATTATAACTTATCAGCACAAATGTAGTAAATGAGGGATACCCGACACTAAGGACATCTTGAAGAGCCCACACGATTTGATATCAGTTTTTCCCTATCGCTCCTATATTCATATATCAGCTTTTTTTTTAAAATGATGATTTCAGGTGGTGAAATGTCGGCCAATGATTCGCCGATCGAAGTTACTGATCAAAATACCGAAACCCTCTCAGACTTGCAAAGACGGCATCGTAGAGAGCAAAAAGAACTGCAAGCTAAAGTGACACAAAAGAAAAAGGGTGCAACCAAGAGTACAAGGAAAACCATAAATTCGGAGTGTGAGATATTGGAGAAAAATCTTGGGGCCAAACATAAACAGGAGCTCATGAGATTAAATGAAGTTATTGAATTTGAGAAGTCCGACGATGCAAATCAAAGACGTCTCGATAAATGTACGTCGGATTGTGAAAACTCGGCAGCTAAATCTTGTGATATTGATGAACTCTCCACAAGTATGCAGAGCTTTGCTCCAACCCAATCTGTACCTTCAGGTGAAGGGGCACCGAAGAAGCGCAATCGTCAAAAGGAACGCCTAGCACGTAGAGCTGCAGAATTACAAGTATCTGTAGATGATGCACAAAAAGAGGCTTCCAATCAACTGGACAAGAGGGCTCTTGAGCGAAAAGCCATTTCTGATCAGATGCATTCTAAAGGCCTGTTTGAAAAGGTCATTCGACCCGATGGACACTGCCTATTTTCTGCAGTCGCCGACCAGCTGGTACAAATTGGCGTATCACTCGGTGAGGAAGCAGATAGTCTGAAGGAGTATCAACTTTACACAGTGGTTCGGAAAGCTGCTGCAACATATATTGAAAGTCACCCTGATGAATTCATAGGATGGTTAGATGAGCCACTAATTCATTACGTTGAAAAGATTAGGGACACAGCAGAGTGGGGAGGTCATCTTGAACTCCTGGCTTTGTCTAGGTTCTATAATGTCGTCATTACTATTATCCAGGATGGTGCATCTCATAATATTGAGCCCTTCTTTACTGAAAACAGACATCCTGCCAATATTTGGCTGGCTTACTACCGGCATGGGTATGGATTAGGGGAGCACTACAACTCACTTCGTCAAAATTTTTTGAATACGGAGGTATAAGAGCTCGATTTGGGCTCCTGATTCTGAAGTTGAAAAATGGGTAAAAATGGGTAAAAAATGATGGTAAATCTCTTGCAGGTCAAGATAAGACGTAATATATCATTGTCCAATGGCATGAGCCCAAATACTAATCCAATCTGTCACCTTTCCATCACTATTGTAGCCAACTTCATGCGTTCTAACCGGCTGAAAATGAGCTATACGCCGTAGACCATGTCTATCAGGATCGCCCATTTTCTGTTCTAGTAAACCTATGACCTCATCATATTCTAGGTCTCTTCCTGGTCTCGTCAAGTGAGCTTCGTAGATTATGGGCGGCAAAGCCCAAGGCGGCCCACCCGTTGAATGGGGTTTGTAGGTTGGGAATTCAACACAGACGAGTCTACCACCCTTCGCGAGTAATTCCACCATGCGCTTTGACCATGCAGGTCTCAGGGTTGGCGGCAAGGCAGAGAGAAACTGGATATATTATTAGCCGAAGTCGATGAGAATAAAATACTAAAAAATACTGTGTAGTCATAGATTAAATCATATTTATCTTCACTTTCTTGGCGTCGAAAGGTGTCGACGCCGAAAAAGTCTCCTTCTGTCCAGGTTATGTTCCCAGGGTGAATTCCTTCTCCTGTTGCATATACTCCGTATCCAAATAGCTGCGCCTCTAGCTTCTTCGCTTCTATTATGGCGGTACCTGACGTATCAAGTCCGTGTGAATCGTATCCATGTGCGGCTAGTAAAAGGACATCATAACCTCTACCACAACCAGGAACTAATGCTTTCCTTTTGACCGCTTTGTGACTCGATGGCAAGATTTCTCGAGGTTCGTTCAGAAGATCAATGAGTGCTGGATTCGGTGAATTCCTGTCCCATGGATGATATCCCTCCTTCCATAAAGCTTCCCAGAGAACGTTGTGCTCAACACCTTTTTCTGGTGCGAAATGTGATTGTAGTTTGGATCGAATAAATCCAGGCTCTTCTGTCATGACGTTGTCCAGGAAGAATGCTAACGCATCAATCTGTGCAATTACCAGTGAAGTAGGATACCAAATTAGTTCCGACGTTCGACTACATCATGCGGGTTCCAATTATAAAAAGTGGGAATTAATCACGAGGCGCACCGAGGCTGTGGACTTCAAAAGATTTAGAAAGGTTTAATTTATTTGTCTCTTCGAATTTTGAAAATTTCAGTATTTATTCATGTTAGAAATTGTCAAGGATTTGTAGGAGGAAATATCTCGAAGAACAAGTATATAATTTCGTACAAGACTTTGGCCGTCAAAGACAAATTCTTCACCTTCTAGTGGTGCCGGTGTAATCGCTCAGTACGCTCTGCATATCTGGGATAGCCAAGAAGAATCGCATCCAAATCGAAGTCGAAAGCAACGTCAAGCATATCTAAAGTCGACCCCTTCTCGTCAATGTCGGACCTATCATTCTCACGCGAGTCCTCCACCTCAATCTTACTACACTATCTTGCCTCAAATACCGATAATTGTTTTACTCCAATTGCAATCGGACATTTTCCTTATCAAAGAACTGCCGTCTCACACTACAAAATTAAGATGCTATGTATACCCGCGAGAAGGAAATCAAGTCATGTTGGAAAATCGGTATGGGTTCGATGAGTAAGACGGCTCAAAGAATATGGGCGCGATTTTATGAATAGAATAATAATGATATGAATCGGGAGAATATGTGATATACTATTGAGAAATAAAAGATCAGTTGAATGAATTGAATTGATTAGATTATCTGTCTTGGTGATTCCTAGACAGCTTATATACATATAATCTTGATAGACCAAATCCAGACTAGATACCATCCATCACTCGTTCCATACTCTAACAATGACAATGAAACGCACGACAGTATACAATATGAGTATGGGGTCAGGATCGGTGGATGAAAGCCTACACGTGTATCAGACCATACCATGCACTAGTCGAGTCTCAAGCATCAAACATGCTCAGTAAGGGAGATATCAATCATCTAGGTCGTGAGTCATGTGTGAGAATCTTAGTTGTTCCAATCATGGGGAAACTTCAGACACATAGAGTCTGAATCTCCAACAAGTCATAATCTACAAAGGTCGGATCTTGGTCTATGGGGGACCGTTGCTGTAATAGAGCTTCACATCTTGAGGGAGTATAGGCAGCTGTAACATATGACGAGCGAATGAAGAGGTTGCACATGGGTATGTTGGGACTCACATTTTTCGGATGTCTTCAATATAATGGTACTTAGGGCGCCGATACTAGAGACTAGATGGGAAAGACACGTTGAAATAGATATAGGCTTGAATATTCGCAAATGAAATCTGAGGCATTAGTGCTCTTCCTTTACGTTGAATCATCTATTCTGTACTTTTCTTTGATAGTGTGTCATAGCTAGATAGCTGCATACGCAATTAAAATCTGATGCAAAAAAAAAGGTTCGAATATTTTTTCTGTTTTCCCTTTTACTGTTATTCAAGGTTGAGGGAATGGCGGTAGTGCCTAGCACAAAGCCCGTGAGCAGTACCAACGAACGCAACGACTCTTGAGTGTTCCAAATTTAAAATTGATTTCTAGTCGTCGGGAAAGAAGTTGCCTTCGTCTTATCATGCCCCTTGAGTGCATAGTATCTATTTGTCACGAGCAAAACTTTCCTGTGTCTACAGTGGTAAACTCTTTGAGCGAAAAGGGGGAACAGCCCATCCGCTCAACTCGATGCGACTCGACTGAACACTTGGACGATGTGGGGATTGAACCCACGACCTCTCGCATGCAAAGCGAGCGATAATACCACTGATCTAATCGCCCTGTGGCTTGCACGCGGTTAAATCAATTATTATAAATAAAGTAAGTAATTGCAAGAAGTATGTAACCATTAATTCTTCATTTGATTTATTTCGCACGTTCAGGCACACCCTGTGTCGGTTTCTACTCAGTCGAGTCATGTTTATCGACATTAAAACTTGTTGTCGATATTGTATATGTATGTCTGTTATCACAGATTTTGGAAATAATTCATGAAATTGCTTAATGAGTGGCTAGATTTGATTCCGATATAATATCGTAGATGACTTGTCCCAACTATCAGAGGGCTACAACGTCTTTATCTATCTACAGGTAACTTCCCCATATTCCAACCACGCTAGCCATACAGGACGTAGCATGTAAAACCTGATTCGTATCATCATTTTGGGGTTGAGGTTTACCGTGCATATGCTACTCGAGTCGCATGTCTGACTACTATGCGACACTCTCAGGTATCAATCTAACAACCCACACCAAAACCGAAACTACTCACAACCCTGATGATGACCCCATGAATAATTGTAACAGCAGCCTGCAACATAGCACAATTAGGCTAGACATCGTTGACCAGGACCTAATCCGAACACACGTCCCGTAATTTACATCTGTATAAGAAAAACCAAGCGCAGTCAATCTGTGAAACAACACACGACTTAACCTCTTTTTTGGTGGAAGGAGTAACATTTGTTTCGATCTACTGGGTCCCTGGAGCAAATAATCTATCTCTTCTAGCACAGAAACCGTGCGGACCTACCGTAACCGGAGATTTCAACTGTTTGTTTCCTGACTGGCAACCAAAGACCACCCGCCTCTACGGTAATTGTCACTATATGGGATAAATGCTAAATCGAAAATGGCAGATCAGGTGAGTTAGATTGTCTACAAAGGAGAAAAATAACTGTCGCTGGACTCTGACAAGTTATATACATTAAGAGGCACGTGTTAGGTTATATATCACGTGATAAATATAAACGTCCTGTTCCATGACAGTAATGGCCAGCTTCTAACAGATTTGATGCTTGAACATGGCATGGACTTATATTCACGGGCAGGCGCGCCAACTTACGATCGAGGAAACACACTCGACCTAGTTTGATCCAACGACGGAGCCCTGGCCGCTATATTGATAGATACCGACTCGACATCAGACCGCCGGATGTTAAGGTTATGAGTCATATGGGAACATAGTTACTTGTCACTTGATATATCTGATTGGAGTATGTAGAGGGTGTGTTCGATAGATTTCGATACTGTCATAAGTATGAATATATGCTATCTTATATACATCTGTATGACCCATGTCATAGTCTTAATTCCAGGGGCGACCGTACTGGTTTCCTTTAGGGACACTCGAGATACACCTGTACACTCGATGCTGTTGCATATACGCTGAGTGGTACCTGACCCCTTGCGGCTAGCACTTATATTCCAGGGGCTTATGGTGTCGCCACCCCTATCGCTTCCATGTATAGTTTTTACCTGGGCGCTCCCGCGCCCGAAGCTTGGTGGCGAGCAGCAGATGTGCATGTTGCAGTGCTAGGCGTGGGTTTGCACCTTCGGTACCGTGACCGTTATTTATCGGTACTATCTCAACACCGGACCCTCGCCGGGGATTTATCTCGCCCTAATTCCAAGAGCCTAGCTACCAACAAAATTGGACAGTCATTTCGGGTCAAAGTCAGCGCCCTCGAAGAGTTAGTCTGACTATTGGAGAGTAAGGGCAACGGAATCGGGAGACGGCTAATGACATCTACATCTGATGTTGAAAACCTGTCCGACATCTTGGTTCAGACAACAGGCGACACAATCAGGGCTACCGACGAACGTGAGAGCGCAAAGAATGGCAGTACAGCCCCCTGGTGAACAGAATAGTGCCGCGAGGCTAAACGGTAGTGAAGGATTTTTCGGAAAGACGAGAACAGGAAGGCATTCTGCCGGATAGTCAAAAGAGCGAAGCGCCAGTATTGACGCCGCAAGTTCTCCGAGGCAGTAATGGACGCTAACAGGTGCCGAATGACACGTTGGACGAAGCTTCGACCTCAAAATACGACTCCAGCACTCAGAGCTCCCAACTGTGTTATATCTGACCCGAGTCAGCGACCGTGTCTGCTGAAATTCTTGCCTCTTGGCCGGTTCAGCAGCGAAAATGACGTCAACTCCGACAAGCACGTGCCCATAGAGGGCAATCTACTGCAGAATTCCAGCGTCTCAGACGATGAAGCCAGATGGGTTGCTACAATATGCCAGAATAAACCCCACCAGGGGCAGATGCAATCACTGTGCGGCTACTTAAAGAAGCATGGCCTTCAATCAACCACGCAGTGAGGACACTCTATGAGGACTCACTGCGATTGAAGCACTTCCCAAAAGTGTTCAAGCTAGCGAAAGTCATCTTTCTTCCAAAGCCTAGTCGTGATCTCAACATGGCCAAAGGCTCGCGAACCATCTCGCTCCTTTCTTCTCTTCACAAAGGTCTAGAGATGCTCATGGCAAAACGCATGGCACACACCGCTATATCACAAAAGGTAGTGCCACGACAACTCTTTGGAGCGCCCCTCGAAAGATTCTTTAATCACCATATCGCATGCGTCATCCACGACATTGACCATCCCATGCACATAAGACAAAAAGTGGTCCTGGTAACTTTTGACGTTCAAGGAGCCTTCGACGCCGTACTCTACGAAAGGTTGCTGCCCAGACGGAGGAAAATGGGATGGCCAGAATCAACCGCTGATTGGGTAAAGTACTTTCTCCATGCAAGATCTGCCCGTCTCCATCATGAAGACAGAGTCACAGAGCCGGTCTTTCTAGAATGCAGGCTCTCACAAAGGTCTCTGCAATCCCTAATCCTCCTCCTCTACATGACCGAGGTCGTGGGAGGGAGCCAATGTATAAATGCATATGCTGACGATGTAGCAATATTTGGAATTGGCAAGACCCTCCTCAAAGCTGCAACAGCAGCCTGGCAGGAGGTTAACGCGGTGCTAGCATGGGCTACTGAATACGCCGTGTCTTTTGACCCTGGCAAAGCTGATGTTGTCTATTTCCTCTGCCCAATAGCAAAAAGATGTGGCCTGCCACCAATAACAGTCTGTGCTAGTCAGGTAAATGTGTCTGTCGAATGACCTAATGACTTAATGACCTTTCATGTATTATCTTAGAAATGATGACTAATTATGTTGATGAATAATGGGTTACCTGTTTAGGAATGGCGTCAGGAGAGAGAGACAACCGCTGTTTATACGTGTTTCCTTTAGTTAGAAGAAAAAATGGAAGATGTATGTTAACCACCAATTGTTATTACTGCTATAGAAAGCTTGTGATATAATACCACTCGAGTATTCCGAAAGTGTCGTACGAAATTCTGTGGCTTGGAGTGTACTTGGATCGCGGCCTGACTTTTGAAAGCCATGTCGCTCAACGCGCCAGCATATGAATGCGAATAGCTCAGCACTTTCGAAGAGTAACTAGGTGCACCCATGGACCAAGGCCTGACTGTCATGATATGAGACAACGAGGTAGTCGAGGCTAGGGCATCGCGTGTGGCTCAAGGCCACAGCATACATCACTAGTGTACTGGTTAGGCGAGCATGTATATAGTTTCATAGATGTACCCACAATAAATGGATACAGGTTTAGTCTTATACTTTCTGTCCATATACCTACAGCATAATATTGTATGAGTCTATTCACTGTCAACAACTAATTATAACATCATCCACTCCTCATCACTCCGCAATGTGACTTCTGCATAGCTCATAACCATAACACTGGCTTACTAACAACTATCATCCGCATTGTATTCATCTCAAGTATAACTCATTCTGACGAGGTCTGGTCCAGGCCCTATGAGAGAATCACACAGAGGTGTTATGCGAAAATTTACGGGAAAACAGTGCAAAGTTATTGACCAGGCCACCATGGCTGGGGTCCGCTAAGCTTTACCGACCTGGCGTACCACGTGAACCACAGCTCTCCGGTGACAGTCTGGCACTCCGCAAGCATAAATCTCCTGGAAGAACGACGAATTCAAATTGCGGCCCGCATTTGGAGGTTAGACTGAAACTACCCGTTACGTATCCGGGCTCTAAAGTCGACCGATAACGCCTGACTCCGCCTTGGACTACAGACGTGTGATGGAAGAAGGCTCGGTACGGGTTGGACCCACGATTTCGGAGTGTAAAGGACATTTCGACTCCTGCCAGAATCAGAACCTCCACCACCTCTGCAACTGCCCACGCCCGCACATCGACGACCGTACCGGACAAGTAAAGATGAGGCAGCCTTAGAAACTGAACAGTGGCTAAGATCACTATTATCCAGCTGTCTCTGCACATACAGCGACGGCTCTGGTACATATATCGACAAGGTTTCATGGGCTTTTGTGACTATTACTGGGGGTACAGGAGCCCTTGACCAAAGCGTCTCCGGCAAATTCGCGAATACGGAGGTCTACGATGCAGAAATCCACGGAGCTATGGCTGCTCCCCCGGCGATTAGAGCGAGCAACAGCGATATAAGAGTTCGAGTCATATACTTCCTCCTAGACAACTGCGCGGTAGCTGAAGCGCTGATTACAGGAAAAACAGTCTCATCTTCATGGGGTACGCAGAAATCTCGTACCACGCTGTCACGAAATGGAGTCGTGATTGATCAATCAAACGAAGTTATCGAAGTCTATTCTGATTCTCTAAAATGATAATAACAAAAGTACTAAACACGACGCGGTCGCGAAGGATTTATGATACATGGATATTTTACAAAGGGGGACTTAGCGTCTCCTAAGATCAACATGAAATGTGGAACCCCTAAGTACTGTGTAGGGAATTCACATCCTTGGGCCCGTAACATCACCTCCCTCCTCCGCGGTGAAGGTGTGCATACAATTAAAATTATATTGTTATTTTTTTGTTTTGTAGAGATGGCTTCTTTTTACCTCTAGAACCAGTGTAACTGCCTGTGTTGGGATCTCCAACGTTGTCTCCGTCACCGCATTGCTCGATGAAGCTTTTAAAAGCGTCAGTGAGGACAAGATTTTCTCCAGGTTCCCAGGAGGTTTCCTTGTAATCTTTATATTTCACGCAGACAAATCTTTTTCCTCGAAATGATTCAGCTCTGAGAACTTTTTCTACAGCATATAACGGATGCTTTCCGTCAAGAAGAGGTGGAGATTGACTATTATCAGTAACTTGGGAGGGTAGTGGATCATCAAAGTCTCGACGGAGTAAGCCCACAAAGAATCTGGGGTGAATATTACTTGGCACATCTAGTTCGTAGACATCAGGGTCTATCTCCCGCGTTATTTTATATTTGGTATTTATCCAAGACAATTCTTTCTTGAGCTGCGGGGTGGTGACATTTCTCAAATTCAACCATACTTTATCTCCCACTTTTAGCTTTTCGGCCGGTCTTCGTCCCTTGTTAGCGTTGTGCTTCATGATTTGCTGTGCTGTTGCCATTGCAGCTTTTGCAAGTTCTTGACCTTCGTGTAGACGATGTATGAAGGCATTAGCTCTTGCTCTTGGGTTTATACCTGAGCTGAATGGCGAGTAGCGTCGTTTTATAGGCTCGAGATGATAACCGTGAGTCAAAAGAAATGGACTGAAGCCGGTTCGTGAGCTGGTCCTATTATTTATAGCAACCATTGCGGACGGGAGTAGTGTCGCCCAGTCATTTTGGGCATAAGAGATGTAAGCTCTCAAGTAGGTTAGCACTTCTTGATTCATTCTCTCGGTACTTCCATCTGTTTGAGGATGAAATGCTGTTGACAATCGTTGTTGGATACCTACACACTGACAAAGCATTTTCCAGAAGTGACCGACCCAGTTAGAGCCTCTATCTGATGTTAGAGAGTTTGGAAAACTATGGTAACGCCAGTGGCTTAGAACAAAATTTTCCGCACAAGCCTCCGCTTCCATTGTTTCCATAGCCTCCAATGTAGCACTACCGAGAAGCCGATTGTATATGACCATCAGGAATCTTTCTTTTTTATTAGTTGACGGTAAATCGGTCATGAAGTCTATGGCCAATTCGCTGTGGAATCGTTCTGGTACTGGTAGTGGCCGTAGCAAGCCCCTTGATGACTGTCGCCAAACTTTAGATCTTCCGCAGACGTGGCAATTTCTCACAAACCTTCGAACATCTTTATATTGCTGAGGCCAAAAAAAACTTCGTGAAAGTATGAAAAGTGTTATTTCCCGTCCTTGATGACCTGTCATATGGGAATCACGTACTTTCTGGATTAAGGTAGTGCAAAGAGGTTCCCAATTTGGGATCCACTATGCTGCTCAATAAGCTAAAGCATGTTTCTCGTCAAAGGAACAGTCCGTCATTTGCACTGAGGTTCCGATAGAGTGCGGTAGTGCAGGATCGCCTCTTTCGAGGCTTTTATAAACATCAAGAAAAGAAGGATCCTTTTCTATTCCTTTGCTCCAGAGTTTTTGTATTTCAAGTCCTTCGAATAATTAGCCACCTTTTCGTGGACCGGTGGGGGAGATGGAGAGACTAGACGATTGGTCGATAGGTTT